AAATCAAATCCTTCCCAAAATAAGAGTCGAGAGGCGAGTCCATCGAGAGGCGGTGGAAGCGGACGACTCGGCGATCCCACGGACCGCTCTGTCCAAACAGCCACTTAAGAGCGTACGCAAAGCTAATATTTTAGCCAGTTTTTGCTCTCGAAATCGCAAACGGCGAGCTCTTCGCACGGCCGCTGCTGCGGAGGCTCGTTCCCAGGCTCGTCTCGGCGCGGCTATAATTTCTTCTGCCGATCGTATCTTCGATTTATCGGCGACCCGCTGTTTATCTTCACTGTCCGCATCGCGCGCGAATGTACGTTCTCGCCCTCGGTACGACCAGTACCGACGGCCGCTACAGGGCGGTCTCCGCCTTCTCTAAATACAAAAACATTGTTCGGACGAACAGGAGACAAGACTATTAATATTAACTAAGGCTTTAACAATCTAGATAACGTCTTAAGAAAGAGAGTTGACGCCCACGCTTAGAGTTCTACCTTGTAGTCGACCTAGTAATGATCGTAACAGCAAATATATCAGAGGTGCGACGGGAGTTGTAAGAAAAATTGAAAGAAAGTAATTTACTGGACTTCTTTTTGCCCTCTACTGACCTATCTGTACCTGGACAAAGGCCTCTTCGATAGATACTTTTTGGCCATTATTCAGACGCTGCAAGGTTGCTATATCTGGTTACACTGGTTTCGTTTAGCCTATGGTTTAACACAGTATACTGGAAAATGGTTCTTGAATCCAACATACTTTTGGCAGAAAGCTATGCTATTGTAAGTTGAATACAACTTATAGGAATAATGATAGGAATTATCGGAAACAAGAAAGAGCCATCTTATCCGATAGTTATGTTCTTTTTTTTTAGTTTAAGAGCGATCAACGCAGTCACTATCAATTTGAAGTTGGTCAAAGAATGCCTAGAGAAGCTGTACAAATTAGACAAAGAAAATAAAGTCCTCATACTATGGTGGGATGCCAGCCCACAGAGGGAGAGAAAGTAATGAAAAAGAAAACGATGTAGCTAGAAAAGGAGCGAACACTCCACTAACTGGACCAGAACTGTTTCGCTTCCTAAATGGAAACCAACTTAAAGTGAACCTCACGAACCTGGATCATCTGTAACCTGGAATGGGTATCCTCCAATGGTCTAAACCCTCGAGAAATTACTCAGAACTTGCGACCGAGAAAAATAAAAAATTTTCCTTGATTTAAAGAATAACAATATTCTGTTTGTCACGGGGTTCTTAACAAGACACTGTCTCCTCAATGAACATCCTAGTAGATATAGGCTAAGAGTATATATAGGCTAAGCTAAGTAAGCTACGAAACAAGGACGAATGCAGATTATGTGGGGAAAATGGGAAAACACCAGAACGCTTCATCACTGACTGCGTCGAGACGACAATAATTCGTGCTATATATAACCTTTGGTACCACTGATATCGCAGATGGAGCACTAGCCTCTGTAAAACCGTCTCAGATGTTCGCTTTTGTCAAAGACCTGAGATTATAATATGATGAATTATAACTCGTTTCTGTGATCTCTAATTTTTTATTTTTCAAACTTTTTCAATTTAGACTCTTCTGAAAGATGTGAATGAGATTTTATGATGAGTAATAATTCAAGAAAGAGAAACACAATAGATTTATAAGGTCGCGGATTAACTTCCCACCTCCCATACCATCTCTATCTACATCTACACTGGCTTCGTTTAATCTGTGGTTTAAGACAGTGTACTTGAATATGGTGCTTGGATCCAACAAGTAATATTGGGTGTTTTAGAAGGACCAGTTATTTATTAAGGAACCTCCTCCCATCTACAATGCTTGCAGTGACCGTTAGAGTTGCTAAGAACAATTTTATTAATATTATTATTAGTCAGCGAAAAGACATCGGAAATATTTATCAAAGTCCAGTAAATGGGACATAGTTCTCGCAGCGCCTCCTAAAAAGTATATAGCGCTCTATATTATTAACATACAGGTTGTATCAAGAAACATGTGCCATTTCTCGTGGAAAGATTCCTGTCGTAAAAAGAAGATTTTTTTTTCATATTAACGTAGGTCCGATTCTGCTTTATTTCGTAGCTACAGTAAGTTAAAATCTTCATCTTTTATCGATTTATTATAATTTTCTGCCAAGTGCGATTCGAATGAAATTTGGTTTGGTTTGGGATTTTTTTTAGGGATTCGAATGAAATTTGGAGGGTAAAAATTTCCATGAGTACTACATATTTTAATGCTACAAAAATGTTTTAATCGGCGTTAAATTGCCTACACAAATTTACTATTAGGAAGAAAAAAGTCAGTGGCGCACATTTTTTTTTTAGAAAAATATTCTAGTGAAAATTTCACACCTCTACTTTTCAACCAATAACATGCTTTAATGTTGACTAGTTACCATGGCAACTGAAAAATTTTCGGGAATTTTTTCGAGGCGCCACGAAACTTTAGTGGAAATTTTTTGACAGTTGAAAAGGTAAACATAAGATCTACAATCATAATGTGAATGAACTACAATGTCTATATATTGAAATATTACCCATTTGAGTTTTAGCATTTGATGTAACTAAGGTTGGTAATATTTTTTATTTAAGGAAATATGTTAGATATACCTACATATGAATTTCTTCGAAATTGCCATGTTCTAAAAAATATAGTTCTGCCGCCTTTATTTAACTAAAGCTGGTATTTTTCTATTTAACGAAATATGATGGATATACACTTGATTTTGATTTTCGGGTGTTACCTGGTTTTATATTTTCAATTTCTTCTTTAATGACTTGTTGGTTTACTTTTCCAAATCGCGACATTTCGCTATACACTTCTTACTCTACGTACAGACGTTTTAAAACTAGTAATAGCTTAATGACAGAATCGCAAACAAAAATGACAAAACACATAATATGTCAAAAACATCAATACCTTGGCCAACTTAACAAATTGAAATTATTTTAAAATGTCATGTTGGATTAATATATTTTTTTCAAATTTAGGTGTGAAATTTTCTTACCGAATACCACGCAAGCTTAAATTATTCCTGGAAATTTTCTTTCGGGCACGAATATTTTAGGAAAATTATCCCTCGTCTTCGACTCGGGATAATTTTCAAAATATTCGTGCCCTCAAAAAAATTTCCGAAAATAATTTAAGCTCTTGTGATATTATAAGTGATAACACATATGCACGTCCCTGGTGAACCGGTCGACACTTTTTTAGCATTAAAATATATGTAGCACTAATAGAAACTGTTACCCTCCAAATTAGTAGCCCAAACATTTATAATAAATCGAAAAAAAGGTAAAAACTTATAATAAATCGAAAAAAAATGAAGACTTTAACCTACTGTAACTACGAAACAAAGCAGAATCGTACCCACAGATTACGTGAGAAATCTCCTCACGAGAGCAGATGGCACACGTTTTTTGAAACACCCTGTATTCTGCACCGACATGGAAAAACACAATGAAGATCAGAAATATCAAGAAAAGGTTTAATGAATATTTGAAGTAAGAAAATGATAGTTCTTACATCTGAACACACGCAGTATACATTGTCCGTAACAGAGGCTCATGGTGCCGGTATTTGCATGCGCAGAGAGAAAAATGCGAAGTGTTTATTACATAACCACTTAATCCTACAGGATCCTACGCTATATTTTATGCGCTTGGCAGTGGCGGACTAGGGGGGGGGCGGAAGGGGCGGTCCCTCCCGGGCCTCCTCTTTTAGGGGGCCTCCGAATCTTAATAAGTAATTTTTTATTGTAACTGGCAAACAAGGCCAATATGTGTTCAGTAGTTATAAAGCAGTTTGTAGGTGGAGTATGCCAACCATACATATATGCCAACTGTAAACAATATAAATGGAAGGAGATATTTACTTAATTATTAATTATCAGGCCCCAGTAATTGTCAATGGCATTTTCTATTTAGGAAATTTAATCAATGACTAATTTTCTTTGTTTAAAATATCGAATAATTATTATTTTTTATATATTTTGAGACTGAATTTATTTATTTTAGCTTTAAGTTATTTTTCAATGGTTTCATTATTTATTTTTACTGAATAAACATTTTAAATTACAACCAATGCACAGCATAACTTGTATTCTAGCTTCCTTACTGATGATGAGCAGTGAAGTCTTTAGTATAACGGGGGCCACGGGCCTAAGACAGCGAAGGGACCCCTCGGATCTTGGAGGACTTACAAAATTGCGATATTTTGTCGCGGTATTTCCCTAGCAGCATTTAAAAAAAAATATTTAAAATTTTTAGACGAAAAAAACTACCTGGCAAAAAAAATTGTACAGCCTAAAAGTCAAATTTAGTGATTATCACAGCCCCTGTGACATAAAGAAAAGACATGGGGCCATCTATTTCAAAAACGAAGATTATTTTCTTTTATCTATGTTCAAAAATTAAATTGTTCAAATGTCATATTATAATGGCGGTAGCTGTCATGGAATTGAGCGATTAAAAAATTATCATAAATAAATTTTTTTCAAATGGAAACCCACTTTTTTTTTATTTCACTAGTGAAAAGGTTTTCCAATTCGTTACGTTGTAACTAGACATATCCCTATACCTAAAATTTTGGTATATATTCGGGAGATATCGCCGCACGCAATTAAAGCACTTTACTATATCCATTTTATATTGCAAAAACCAATTGGTATCAAATTCAACATGAGCGGAGATATACCTAAAACTATCCAAAGCCAATAAGAGTTTAAGGGGTAACGGTAAATACCTCTGAACATTCATGTTAATAACCTTTAAACAAAACCGACTATTAAATTCTGACGTACCAACTCTTTTATTCCGTAAAAACTATTTCGGAATAGTTCATTCTTATAAAAACACCTATAATCGATTATATTAACTGGGTTTTATATGAAATATAATTTTACATGATGGGTATAAAATAATGACCTAGTCTCTAGATTTATATATTAAACTTGATTCTCTAATAAATATGACACGATAAAAATTTCCAGAATTTTCCAGATTGCTGGTACGACAATCAAAGACATTTGGAAGGATCAGAAGTTGCAACAAGTGAACCATGTCTGAACTGTACCTGTACCAGAAATATTCTTCTGTGTTATTTACGTGTATGTCCTAAGTTACCTGATCCTCCCCCACCAGGATGCATCCTGCTCCATAGACATAGAACCTGTTGCCAAGAATTAATATGTTCAGGTATGTAAGAATATAGGCAGGTAGTTTTCGACCTCACAATTATACAATTTTTATCTTTCTGAAAACAATATGCTCCTACCTCATAAACCTATCCAAATATTAATTAGCATATTTGTCTCCAAAAAGTCTTTTGAATAAAATATTTGTAACCCGAATACTTTGGAATTAAATAAATGTCGCTGGAATCTAAATCTGTCTATTACGGAAAAAATGATAAGTCTAGCAGTTCAAGCTATAACTTGAGATTTTTTTCCATGACAACCTCAGAGATTACATAACGCATTGCCTTGGTAATATTTCTTTTTTCGTAGAGATCTTATTAATAGCCAGTGGTATCTTAATCACTCCCCAACACAAACATGTTCAGTCGAAAACAAATATGAGTTTGCTTTCTTTGCACTCTAGTTCCCCCATAGCAGTTCACTGTTATGATTGCATTTTTATTTCGAATTTATAATAATGTATCCGCAAAGTCTACAGTAACTAATAGGCGTCAAAACTTCGACTTCTACCGACCAAATAAATAGAAACAGACCGATGAAACTTACCATTCGAGTACGTTCAGAGTGGGAAAACGCAACACCTAACGTTCAAACAGATTCCTAATGCTCAAATCGTGATTGAGTACGTAAAAAACACGTTTCCTGGATATGCTAATAGCTTGTGGTGATTCTCATACTTTAATTTCACGACTGTCTAAGACCAGTTGGTGAATTTGGGCAATACTATTATCCGTATCTGCAGTTTTTGTACGTCCCCCGTAATTTTTTTTTAATACAACAGGTGTGTCTAAAGTCTATATTTTTATATTATACGCTTAGATTATAAGTTTACGACTTAGCCAGAAGCCAGAGGTATTTTAAAAGAAGACATGACACTCATGACAGGATCAAGGATTAAGGCAAACTTTTATTGGTTAAGAATTTGGCGCCATATTTTAAATATGTTTTGTTATTTCGAAGAAAAATTAAGTAAATACATACTAACATAATTCATTATTACCACAGTTTTCTCAACGTGACACCGCCCTCCTAAGATTTGCCGCCCGGTGCTATAGCACCAAATAGCACCCTTGTAATACCGGCACTGCGTCCCGAACGTTTTTCATGCGCCAAACTGCCTACAACCACCTTTAAAATCAGGTGTCTATATTAGTTAGAAGGTTATAAATGATGCAAAATTCTTATATATAACACTGTGATTTGCATAGGTGCATTGCCTTTCAGTTTCATACTCATTTTTTTTTTTATTTTGAACTAAATATGGAAAATAGTTGAAATCTTGCGAAAGATGTATATCACAAGATTGTAGATTGTATGAGAGGAAGGAAATTAATCACCGCGATCTTATAGATCAATTGTGTCCCCTTTCTTGAGTCATAACTCACCCTACAGTCCTACGGCTTTGACAAAAGCCAGTATCTGAGAAGGTTGTACAGAGCTTAGTTCTCCATCTCCAATATCAGTCGTAGGTACCAAAGTTTATGGCTCGAATGGTTGTCTCAGCGCACTCAGTGATGAGGTGTTCTGGTGTTTCCCATTTTCTCCACAGAATCTGCATTCGCCGTTGATTCTTAGCTTTAATCTACTGAAGTGTACATTGAGGAAAAAGTCCGGCCCCGTCTTTTAGGAGGCCTCCGAATCCTAATAAATAGTTTTTTATTCAACTGGCAAACAAGGCTAATATATGTTGAGTAGTTATGAAGCAGTTTGTAGGTGGAGTATGCAAACCACGCGTATACGCAAACTATAAAGAGTATAAATTGAAGCAGATATTTACTTAATTATCAATTATCAGGCCCCAGTAATTGTCAATAGTATTTTCTATTTAGGAAATTAAATCAAAGGGTAATTTTCTTTGCTCAAAATATCGACTAATTATTATTTTTTATATATTTTGGGACTGGATTTATTTATTTTAGCTTTTAAGTTATTTTTTAAGGCTTTCATTATTTATTTTTACTGAATAAACATTTTAAATTACAACCAATGCACAGCATAACTTGTGTTCTAGCTCCTTTACCGATGATGAGCAGTGCCGTCTTTAGTATATCGGGAGCCACGGACCTGAGACAGCGAAGGGCCCCTCGGATCTTGGAGGACTTACAAAATCGCGATATTTTGTCGCGGTATTTTCCTGGAACGGTCGCAAAAGTAACGCGGCACATATGTGGAGCCGGTATTTTCATCACTTTGTCATCATAAGTTGCCATTAAATACATGCGAACATTCCATCGGGGATATACATACATAACCGTGGTATATCTAACATTAACCATTTTTGAGAAAAAAATATTTAAAATTTTTGGACGAAAAAAACTACCTGTCAAAAAAATTTGTACAGACTAAAAGTCAAATTTAGTGATTATCACAGACACTGTGACATAGAGAAAAGACATGTGGCTATCTATTTCAAAAATTAAATTGTTCAAATGTCATATAATAATGGCGGTAGTAGTCATGGAATTGAGCGATTAAAAAATTATCATAAATATTTTTTTTCAAATGGAAACCCACTTTTTTTATTTCACTAGTGAAAAGGTTTTTCAATTCATTACGTTTTCACTATATACATATTCCTTACAACCTAAAATAAATCGTTTTTAAGTTATTTAAGTTTTAGTTTGAAGTTAAAAAACGTAAATTTTCCTTGATTTTATCTAGCTTCCTGTGACATTAAGTGTCAAACAGTCAAACAATTTTTTTTCCATTTTTTTAGAGAATTTAAATATGTAATAAAAAATTGGGACACCCATTTAAAATAAGAAAGTTGCTGTCAACTTCCGGTACTTCCGGAAGTGCCGCCATATTGAAAATATTTTTAATCGATAGATCTCGTTGCGAAACAATGATATGCAAAAAATCTCGGATGTAGATATTGTAGTTCTCTAGAAACTTCTAATGCAGGCTCAGCCATAAATATTTGACTTTTGTCAACAATTATACATACGTCATTCAATTTTTACAAAATGTGTATTAGAAGTATATCATTATCTGAACAGACTGGGGGCCACATTTAGCTTCACCGCCCCGGGCTCCCGACAGACTTAGTCCGCCACTGGAAAAAGTGTTCTTTTAAAACGACCGTCACAATCCGAAGACTATTTTTACTTAAATCAACAAAGGATCAAGTCCTGAGGAATTTTTTCGAGTGTCCTAGACCATTGTAGGATTTTCATTCCAGGTTACGGATAGAGTCTTCCAAGTTCTTGAGTTTGTTGCTTCAAGTTGGTTTTCACTTAAGGAGAGCGATTCTGGTCCAGTTAGTGGAGTGTTCACTCCTTTCCTAGCTAGATCGTTTGCTTTTTCATTACCTATGTCCCTTAGTGGGCTGTCATCAAGAGTAGGAGAACTTTATTTTTTTTGCCTAATTTGTTCAGCTTCTCTAGGCATTCTTTGGCCAACTTCGAATTAGTATAGTATAGTAGTATAGTTACTGAGTTGATCGCTCTTAAAGCTGCTTGGATATCGTATAAGATAACTGTTGCTTGTGCGAACACAAATTGTGTAAATGTTATTGAATGGATGTTGTATACTTGGTGAGGTCGAAAACTTTCAAACTACAAACTACCCTTCTATATTAAAAATATTTAGAATTATAAATATGAACAAGATAATTCCTTAGATTTTTATGATGGAGGAAATAGTCTGGAAAGCAGATCGGAACCAGAACACCCTCTAGAGCTATTTCCTGAAGAAACCCCATCTTACGGGAATGGTAAAAGTGAATATAATTAGGTATAATGAATTTTCTTATTTGATATATTTTCAGGCTGTATATCTGACGGAAGCATCTACGCGCCAGGCTCTGCTATGCATTCCAGCTCGCTGTGTGAATATTGTTACTGTTTAGCTGGCAAACAAATATGTGTTAAACCAAAGTGTTTAATGCAAATGAAAGGCTGCGTACCGGAATATGAAGATACAAGCTGCTGCCCTGTCAGGTAAATCAGAAGATATTTTAATGAATACTACCAAGAATGCCGTCATAACTGTCTTACAATTTACAGCCCTTTAGTAAGATCTTTATTTTTGTTTCTTTTATTAACTGAAATACATCAGTTTTCTTATGCGTCCATTCTCAAATGCATTTTAGCCAGGATTTTTCTTTATAAATTTTCTTTTATTTTCAATTTATCAATTAATCTCTGTATTATGATCTGCAATGGTTCGTATTTGGAGTATACGATATTTTCTCCATTTAATTATCAAGAAAAATTATTTGCCCTATCCCGCTCACTACAATTCGCGTTGCTAATTCTGACTATCCAGTTTATCCTATGGATTCTGTGGTAGTCCTCAAATGCCTACATTTTTCTATGGTCTGAGTCATAGATATACTGAATGGCAATCGCAGTATAATGCTCATTGTTCAGTAAAGTTTTATATTTTAGCGAATATAATATACAGGGTGATCCGAACTGTATTCCGGAAACTTCAGCAGCATATTCTGCAGATAGAAATAAGTAAAAAAGTTCGTATAAATGTATGTCTTAAAATGCTTAGTTTTGGAGATACAGGGTGTAGAAGTTTCATTTTTATTTCGATTTTTTCCAAATATTTTCTGAAGTAACGTCAATATTTGGATGAAATTTGGTGTCTGGGAGTTTCTTGATATGAAAAATTTGATTTTGATGTCAATATAACTCCTGCTTGTAGAGGGCGCCACCTACATATTTTTAACTGGTTTGAAGAGTAATAACTTTTCGTCCGTACCTGTATAAAATTACTAAGTAAAAAAATATACATTTACTACGTTTTTTACGTAAAAAAGGTCTCTTAATAAAAATCGCTACAAGTAATATTTCTCGGGATATTTGAAATTGAAATTATCAATACCTGTCATCATTGACATAAACCAAACATGTTGACTAAATAGTTAATAGACTGAAATCATAAATTTGGAATGTTTTTGTGCCAAATCATCATCAATCATTTTTTTGAAGAAAATTTTATGATTACTTTATAAAAATAAAAATTTCCCAAATTTATCATTTCAGTCAAATAACTATCTACTCAACATGTTTATTTTTTGTCAATAATAACATGTATTGACCATTTCCATTCTAAATATCTTGAGAACGGTTGCTCGTAACGACTTTTACCAATAGACATTTTTTTCTTAAAAAATTACGAAAATGTATATTTTTTCACTCAGTAGTTCTATACAGGTACGGACAAAAAGTTATTACTCTTCAAAACAGTTAAAACACATGTAGGTGGCGCTCTCTACGAATAGTAGTCATAGTGACATCAAAATCAAATTTCTCATGTCAAAAAATTGCCAGACACCAATTTTCATCCAAATATTGACGTTACTTCAGAAATTATTTGAAAAAAATCGAGATACAAATGAAATTTCTACACCCTGTATCTCCGAAACTAAGCATTTTAGGACATATATTTATAAGAAGTTTTTTACTTCTTTTTATCTGCAGAATATGCTACCGAAGTTTTCGGAATACAGTTCGGACCACCCTGTATACAGGGTTGTTCACCACATACGACACGGAGTATTGTAGCTAAACGACTAGATTTTTACAAATTGTAAATTTTGGGTTCGTTGAAGGACTATTAGAGCTACAATTTAAAAATATTTTTACAAGATACAGAGTGTCCCAAATAAATAAAAAATTACAAAGTTGTATTTTTCTAAATGGAACACCCTATATATTATTACATTTTTAGTTTTTACGATTAAAATAAAGGTAAATTTGATTAAGGTTTATTACACTTAAACCTTACCGTTTTTGAAATATTTTCAATTTTGTGAAATTGCATTATAAATTTTAAGGCTTCATTTCTCCGAGAGTATCAAAGTTTTTAATACTAAATATTTACTGACGTTTATTTATTGATCAGTTATTGTGTTGCAATAATAAAAACTTTACTACCTTATACAGAGTGTCTAAAAATTTATTTTAAATAATTACTAGCTTTAAATGGCAATAACTTGTATAATTTAAATGGAACACCCTGTATATTTTGTGAGAATCAGATGCATAATTTAATTGTCTATCAAATTGTATTATACCATTTTTTACCTATCTCTTCAAGTTTTCGTAGAAAATGTATTTTCTTGTAATTTAGAACTCATTTATCAATATACCCATGGAATACTGACATTTTAGATTATTTTTAAAGATGTACCAAATTTTTAAAGAGTACAAATACTAATATTGTCGATATAGTTTGTTTATTTCATTAAAAAATAAAAAAAACCTGTTTGGTTTGGTTTGGTTTAAATATTTGTTAAAGGGGACAAATTAATATGATTCCAGTATTCAAACTACATTAATTGACTGTTTGTGTTGATTAATAATAATTGCTCCAAAAACTAAAAAACTGAATTATGTATGTGTATTAGACAGTGTGGTAAAAAGTAACACCTTAAAAATGATATTTAATTTTTTGACAAATGCTTATTTATAACAACAGAGACGTTCATTTTCATAACTTATTATTATATTGATTTCTGATTCAAATCCACATTTATTTAGAATAATTTATTAACGAACACAATTAAGCATGTAGTTAATTAGTATTTGGGCAGAAATACTGGTGGTATATTTGTCAATGGTATACTCTTTTATAAAGATTTAAATAGTTTTCTTTTTGCATACAAATGGGGTAGTAATATTATCGTTTTACTAAAAACAATAATATTACTAGCCTGTACATTTTGTACATTTGTTGTTTTAAAAACAATCTAAAATGTCAATTTTCCATGGGTATATTAATAAATGAGGTCTAAATTATAAGAAAATGCATTTTCTACGAAAACTTGAAGAAGTAGTTAAGAAGTGGTATAATACAATTTGATAGACAATTAAATTGTGCATCTGATTCTCATAAAATATACAGGGTGTTCTATTTAAATTAAATAAGTTATTGCCGTTTAAAGCTAGTAATTATTTAAAATAAATTTTTAGACACTCTGTATAAGGTAGTATAATTTTTATTATTGCAACACAATAGCTGATCAATAAATAAACTTCAGTAAATATTTAGTATTAAAAACTTTGATATCCTCGGCGAAATGAAGCCTTAAAATTTATACTGCAATTTCGCAAAATTGAAAATATTTCAAAAAAGGTAAGGCTTAAGGTTTAAGTAGAAACTAAAAATGCAATAATATACAGTTCCATTTAAAAAAATACAACTTTGATATTTTTTATTTATTTGGGACACTCTGTATCTTGTAAAAATATTTTTAAATTGTAGCTCTAATAGTCCTTCAACGAACCCAAAACTTACAATTTGTAAAAATCTAATCGTTTAGCTACAATACTCCGTGTCGTATGTGGTGAACAACCCTGTATATAGCGAAATATTTTTTACAGGGTTTCCTAATATTCCCTGGACATCGAACTACTACGTATTTTTGGAATGAAAATAAGTTAATTGCACATTATTTACCTTTATACAAAAGTGCTTCGTTTGTCCATTAAAGGGCATCAATTGAAAATTAACCCGAACGTTAATTAATTTAAAATTTATTATTTTTTTGAGCTTTTTATGAAGGTTATTCTCAAATATAATATATACATAGCATAGCTTGATATGAAAAAAATATTTTATGGAAATCAGCCTCGCAAATATTTTATGCAAATCATTTATTCGCGTTTATTACATGAGACAAAAAATGCAGTAAATACTAGAAGGGCCATTTTACAAAAAGAAATTCAGTCGTCGGTAGAGTTGGAAAAAATTTATAATAAAATTTATATAGGGGTGGGGTAGTTTTCATCCTTCCTGTACATTTTCTTGATTTTTGTGTCAAATGTTAAAGCACTTAGCAAAACATAGACATATAAAATTTGATTCAAATCGGAATAACAGTTCTTAAAATATCTAAAAAAAATATGTTTATATTTTTAAAGTTTGATGCCCTGTAACAGACAAACGAAGAATTTTTGTATATAGGTAAATTGTGTCCAATGGACTTATTTTGATTCCAAAAATACATATTCGTTCTATTTCCTCGGAATATTTGGACACCCTGTATTTTATCAGCCTGGTTTAGGTCAAAAATGCATTATCTAGATATTAATATTGTAAGGATATTGTTCTACAAAGTAACAATATATGAATGAATAAAGATTATTATTTTCTAGGAATCTAAATATTTCTTATAATTTCAGATACAATTGTACCACGAAAATAGATGAAATACGAGAAACCACTACACCAGTAACTGGTTCAGATAAAGGTATGTTATTTTTTTGAAGACCGCTGCAAATTTTCTATTTTAAATACCTCCTTTATCAAATCTATAGAAATGTTTCTATTTCTGTTTTAACTGAAATATTTCAAAAAAATAAGGTATTGTTACATTTTCTAATGGCTTTGCAGGTGGTTGTCTTATAGATGGTTTATATTATCCAGAAGGGGTCAAAGTGATCGGAATAGGTCATTCAGTTTGTGACAACTGCTATTGCGTACAAGGTATTCTTAGGTGTGAACCACTCTCCTGTGCACCTCCCCTTTTAGGCTGTACTCCTGTGATCAGGCCTGGTGAATGTTGTGCAGCCAGCTATAACTGTAGTAAGTAAGTTTATTTGAATGTTGTTTATTATATTGTTTTTTAGCTATATTAATGCTTTTTTTTCTTTTTTGGGAAATCTAATGTTTCAAATTTGTAGATGGAACACTTGAAATAGAAGCTGAACCAAACTATGGGCTATTTCCTACCATAAGCAAAGAGTACTCGAAATTTCGAAAGGAAGTACAAAAAAGACCGATTCAAACTCGAAACGGGGTAGTTACGGTAGCGCCTCTTTACGCATTATCAGATTCGTGGCTGGATCCTACAACGAAAATTATTTCACAACGCAGTCCCGGAACAACACGACATTTTTCTACTTCTAATATGATGTTAAGTAGTACTGCAAAACCGCTAAAGGAAAGATCTAGTGATTCCGATATCTCTGCTGAAGATGATGAGCAGATGAATGATACTAGAAAGACCACTTTTGGTTTAAATAAGACTGATATCACCAAAATGCAAAACGATTCCTCGACATTATCTATACAAAATAAAGAAGATTCAGTTGATGATAACTCCTATCTTGATTTGGATAAACTAAATATTCTTAGTATAGTCGACACACTTTTAGATACTACAGTACATAAAATAGAAGAGGACAAAAATTCTGAACTACAAAATAATACACAATTAAATGTAACTGATTTACATTTAATTGAAGGCAACAGCATTGAGATTGCGCATACAGATCCTGTAACTGAAACTGAAATAACAGAAACGACATCAACAACTATACATTCTTTAGAAACAACAACGAACACTGAAGCATATGATGAAACTACAACCACTTTTGTAGATAGTACAACTAGTGCAGAATTAGTAACAGTCAGAACAGTAATTAAATCCACAGACTGTATTGATAATACTGAAGATGTCTTAGACTCAGGTAAGTTAACCAATAATTATTCATAGTACCGCTTTTATCGTCATGTTTAACAGAGACAGTGGGCGATGTAACTACGACAATAAAACCAAACGATGATAACGAAATAAGTTTAAGTGAAAGTCAGACTGAAACTACAACCACATCTGAACCTTTGACAACTGAATATAAGGCTTATCCAACAGCTGAAATTATAAATAACTATTCAATCGTCAACAATGTGAACAGCGTGTTAGGTTACCCAGATATATCGGGCAAAAATAATAACACCAAAGAAGAAAATTTAGACTATGATTACACTGAACCAACTCTGCCAAACGTAAAGTAAGTATATAAAAAAATTGTGTGTGCACTATGTGCGCATATTTGAAGTGAAACTTCTTACTAACAGCTAAAAAAATGTAGTTTGAAATGTTGAAAAATTAATAAATAATTTGACTCACTTTCACAAAATTTGTATTAAAATGGCTGTCTGACCGTCTGAGTACTCCATTCGGGTACCTCTATGCACGTGCCGAGATTGATTCCAATAGACCCATAATTAAGAAAAATCCTGATTATTTCGTTCATTTAGAGGCATCATCGGTTCGAAACGTCGAGGGCGTCATCCTGTAACCCATCCTCAATTATGCTGAAATCGACCCACATTTTCTTTAATATCAAATCGTTAGTCTTAAAAACGTCGTATCCAACTTAGCAGGGTGGGTCCGCGTGCACGGTCACTCACATAGTTTACCCACCATCGACATACCAAATTTCATTTAAATCGGACGATTTTTTCTAAGCCATAGGCTGTACTTACCAATTAAACAAGTTTCACTCCAATAAAATGTGGATTGCTTAGTGTTTATACTGGAGATGTTTATTATTATTATTATTTTTAGAATAATTCCATTCGTAGCTGCTGATGCTTTGGATAAGGATGATGCTCCAGAACATCCTTCGCCTGTATACATAAATGAAAAGATTGACCACGATGGCTTTACTTATAATACAAACCTATTTTCACCCCCAACTAAAACCGAAGGTAACCATTAGCACGTCATACACCAAAACAGTTAATCTTATATATAGTATCTGATATATTTTAGGTGGCTTTGTCCCCAAAGAACCGCCCATATTACAGTCTTTTTATGATGATACGTTTCCGTCAAGGAAAAAAATTCCAACTGATGCAAATGGTAAAGAAAATAATATTTAACAAGAGGTATATAAATTTTTTATACTTTCTCTCTCAATTTTAGTCAATTGTATTTTGGACAATCAAGAAATCACTCACGGAACACCAGTTCTTTCTGATTCTGCATGTATGACGTGTAGTTGTTTTTATGGCAGCGTAGTATGTCAAAAACCAAATTGCCCTCCACCGAGACCCGGATGTAGAGAAGCGGAGAAACTAAGTGCTACTTTGTGCTGTCCAAATTATATTTGTGGTGAGTAGAACTAAGAACTATGCAACAAAAGGCTTTAGACTCTAGAATAATATCTTTAGAATAAAAAATGTACATAATTTATTATACAACATATTCTGTTCTAAAGACCTTTATGGTGCGATCGAGAAAAATGCGTCAGATTGGCTTGGAAATGACGACGATGACATTAACCATCATTCCAAGCCAACGCTGACGCCTTTAAGGTTGATTCTCACTATATCTTCCGTATCAGCTACCTTCCATTTTCTTTCTGTTTACATAAAATATTATATCATGTAAATGAACAGGACAATGCACACTATTCGTTACATTTCCCTTCCGTTCCATATCTCTTCCACCCATACATTTTTTTGGCGGACGGTCTGAAGCGTATCAGTAACAGCGTTGTCAAGTTCTTACATTTGTTCCAACTCTGTGAACATTTTGCTGATATTTACTTATTCTTTCAATAAAACTTTCGTAATAATATACATTGTACAATAAAAAGAATGGAACTCATACGTAACGGAAAGGATATGGAATGGAAACGGAATGTATAGTGAGAATCAACCTTTATTTTTCAATCGCATGGCATCAATTAACTTGAATCGATATAGTACCGCCACTCATTATACACAATATTTATTGTATTAGGTTTCTTTTTAGACGAATCTGTTGTACTGGATAGGTATGATATAATCCCTGACTTGGTAACTGTAGCCGAAGGCATTATTCCTTCCGACCCTTTCAATGATGTCATTAGAACAGAACCAGCACCGGACTTGCAATCCCTAATGGGCGACATGATGTCGTTGCAGAAAATAAGCAGTGCTTCACCAATAGAACAAGGTAAACTGAAGTTAACTTCTAGAGAATTCAACTTTGAATATTTGAACAGTGGAAGGGGGGTGTCCTCCTTTCTTGAATTATAACTTATCATTCAGTCTCGGGGCATTGACAAAAGCCAGTTACAGACACAATTTTACAGAGTTTAGTTCTCCATCTCCGATATCAATCGTAGCAAAGTTTATGGCACGAATGGTTATCGACTCGGAGCACTCAATGATGATGTATTCTGGTGTTTCTCTATATTTCCCACAGAATCTGCATTGTCCATTATTCTTTAGCTTTATTATTATTATTAGCATTCTGCTTAGGTGTGGACTGAGGAGACAGTGTCCTGTTAAAAATCTTGTGACAATCCGAAGATTGTTTTTTAGACTTGGGTTCTGGTCCAGTTATTGGTATGTTCGCTTCTTTTCTAGCTAGATCGTTTGCATTTTAATTGCCTTCAATCCGTTTGTAGGCTGGCACCCAGAGTAGGAGGACTTTATTTTCTTTACCTAATTTGTTCAGCTTGGTACAAAGCTACGCCAAGGTCTTCTTCTCCTTAGGCCGCCGTCTCCCTTCCGAGGTTGGCGATCCAACTGGCTATGAAATTGCCCCTCTGAAAATTTCAATCGATGTTCTTCCGAACCAACGACGCATATCCTTAAGCCAGGAGTTTTGCCTTCATCCCGCTGATCTCCTGCCCTCAATTTTGCCTTCGATAACCAGTCTGAGCACCTCGTATCGATCACCCCTCGCGTCAAGGTACGTCCTTCGAAAGATTACGTGGTCAAATTTATGCCAGTAGGCTGATCTAGAATATTTCCAGATTCCTTTAAACTTGTCCTTCAGCATGAACCATGTATTGGTGATGCAAAGATTGTACTCTGTGGATGTTGTCAGTAAGCATTCACCGCTGTTATTTATGTTTTCCATTCCATGTTTCCCCAACACGTCAGGCCATATTTCTTGCTGATTGCCGACACGGGCACTAAAGTTTCCTAGCAAGATGATTCGCTCCTGCTTTGGAATTCATTGGAGAGCATTTTGGAGAGCTTGGTAAAATAAAAACTTATCTTCAATTTTAGCATCGAGGGTGGGAGCATACGCACTAATGATGTTGACGTAAGTTTTATCTGATATGGGGTACCTTAAGGTCATAAAACGTTCGGAGACACCTATGGGTTCTTCTGTTAAACTGGTGGCGATTTCATTTTTGACTGCAATACCTACGCCATAAATTCTACTGTGGGTTGCAGGGTGACCCTTCCAAAAAAAGGTGTAATGCTCCTCAATCAGACTACCTTCATCTGCAAAGTGGGTTTCATCTGCAAACAGGTGAAGTGAATCAACCACCTGAAGGTGAGATTGAGTTTTGAGTAAGCCAGGCTATATGTATCGCTTCAATACCCCTTGCACCCCAAAACCTGCAGTGTACCAAGCTTTTTGTGCAGCTTCTCTAGGCATTCTTTGAACAACTTCAAGAGATACCTGAGTAACACATTTGTTTATACTTTATTGATTTAAAAGTATTTTATATGTTTTGTTTAGGGGGTGGGGGAGGGGGGGAAGCTTATCAGTTCTTCATTATACTTTTTTCATTGTTAAAGTCTACCTGGGGTCCAATGAATTTTAACAAATTTGTCAAGATTGTTTAACGATTTGCTCTATATCAACATGACTGGCTAAAATTGTTGTCGATTTTTTCCACATTGACATAAATATTTCATTTTATACAGTTACAGTTTGAGATAAAAATATAATGATAAAATATGTTTTAGAAATTTTCACTACTACACCAGGACCAGACACAGAAAAATTAAAAGAAGATGGTGACTTCTTCGAGCTGGATAAAATTTGGAAACTGATATTTTCCAAGGAATCTAAAGAAAGTAACCCGAAGAATTCTGAAGAAGCCTCAAATATTACATCTAATAAAATTAATCCTGTTAAATCTTATAATACTTTAGAAACGCATGAAAAAATAAATAATTTAACTCATGTTAGAACGGAAACTCCTACGGATTTTAACAATGAAACAGATTTATTAAATCAAAACGAAATAAATAATGAAAAAGATGCCTCAAATGGTGAGAATATGACGAATTTACAGAAAACAGGCGGAAATGTAAACAGTAACATCGGTGTAGATATATTAAAGTTAGCGGGATGCAACATTTATGGCAGGATGTACCGAGTAGGTAGAATTATTTCGGAGTTATCTGGCCCGTGTTTAGAATGTAAATGTACAGAGATTGGAGTGCAGTGCAGACAACTTAGCTGTTAACATATAAAGAGTCAAACCGAAATTTCCCAAAGTTTAATATAAAACAAAATAGATATCTTCATTTGTCATAGCTATTTATTTATAATCCGATTTTAGAATTATAATGTGCAATCTTTAAAAAATTACAGTTCTTTAAAATTAATCAATTATATTTTTTTATTTTGTCTCATATCAACAAGATCTGCATCAAGCTGATTTTTTTTGTTATGTTAGTTTGAAATATATTATTTTTCTCGTCACATCAACAAAACCAAACTCAGAAATTATAGGTCCATTTACAATTTTCAAAATTTTTATTTGTATAGCAGTTTTTCAAATTTTTAAGTAACGCAGCACTGTTTTAAGAAACCAAAAGATAGCATACGATTGAAAAAATTGCCGTCAGAGTTGGCTTGGAAATGACGATCGCTGTCATTTTATATGGAAAATTATAATATAGTAGTCGTCAATTTCAAGCCAACTTGACGTCGCGCCGTACGGTATTTCTTTTTAAAAATTTGTAAAACTATGCTGTGTCAATAAAATGAAAATAAAAAAATGACTATATATTGTTAATAAGTTAATTATTATTAACCAATAGGTCATTACACAGGGAGAGCAAAAACATTATTTATTTCCGTTTGCTATAAAATCGCTCAAATCTTTGATATTTGAAATTCGATCATGTATATTATTTAAAAAATCAAAAGACTAATAAAATTGCTTTTAAAGTAGAACTATTTTAAAATTAAGAATTCTATTATTATATTTTCATTTCAAGAATTTCGTTACCATGACAATTTTAGAAATTTAGCAAGTAAAGTCTAATTAATACTTATAAAGTTTGAATATTTGTATACTGTATACACTAGAGCTACGAAGAAAAAATTATAATACCATTATTGTATTCACATAAATAAGCGGAACATATTTTAATTCGCTCTAACCGTATACGTTAACTAGTAAATCCCTACATTTTGCTTTAACCATCATGAACACCAATTCTAGAGATAAATTCTACTTATATACACATATCATTCATACACAAATACTAAAAATGTATAAAATTAATTTGTGTTAAATTTTCTGTGATTTTATTAATTCTGTTTATATTATGTTAAATTGATTTTTATTTCTGAATTGTAATTACAGCAGGTACAATGGAAAAGTTTATATAGTATTATCAAACAGACTTTCTGACAGCGAAATTAATTCTAATGTAATTCTCTATAGAACAATTGCATAAATTATTGTCAAAAACAGGCATATTTAAAAACTTTTTTCATTATACTAAATATACTGTACTGTACCACACAAGCCACAAGCCTATATGTCATCTACATCTTGCCATCCACAAAAACAAATAATGGATTTGGATTTCAAATCGGAATGCTTCGGAAACTTAAGGTATTATACCCAAAATTAATGTTACTTTTTTAGAACTAAGTATGTATTTTTTAAGTTAAATCAATATAAGTATTATTTTGTTCAAATCAGGATTAATTTTAATTGTAAGTAGGTAATAAGTTTCAATGTAAATATTTGCCCAATGTTAAGCATCCTGTTTCCTGAGATGTTAATAAAATAAAGTTAGTTTAAATTAACACGTATTTTTTTACTACAACTGTTCAAGGTTTTGAACTACATTGAGAGAATAGATTAAAGAACAGATGAACAGATCATACTTTAGTAATGAAGTCTATTCCTTTGGAGTGGTTTAATTAGAAACTACAATATCTGGATTTAAATCGTGACTGAAACAAAAACTTTTTAACTACTCATTTTATGGAAAATACAACTCAGTGAGTCTAAAATCGGAAGATATAAGGCGAAGTTTCAAAAAGTATATCCCTCGCCCTTTCGAGAAATAAAAAAATGGAAAAAATGTCTAAAATATCTAAATAAAATTGAAATAGAACGAAAAAATTATTTTCATTGCTCTTTTTCGCAAATAGCTGTTTACTTCATTGATTTTCTTAATCAGATCTTCAGTTTACACGAAACTAATATTTTAAGTTGCATAAATTTTGCAACAAAACATATTTTAACATTAAAATTTTCAATTAACAGTAACGCCAAAAAAATCAAAATGTTTAAAAAAATCAAAAAAATAATTGACAAAACTGTAAAAAGTTATTTTTTTAAAAACTTTTAATCTAATAGAAGTTTTGTTCATTCAGTGTTGAAAGAGGGCCATTGCGTAATAGCCTTTATTAGTGTAAACCGCTACTAAAGCCACACCTATACAGATCATTGAACTTTTCTTTCATACTTTGGAAATTTCTCTCCACTCCTGTTTTCCCCACTGGGGTGAATTTGTCTCTCGACACAGCAAAACGAATTTTGCTGGGATGCCCTTTGTAATAGGGACTTTTAGCACGATGTTACTTTATGGCTTACGTTAGATGGATATATGGTAGAAATATGTTGTATAATAGAAAGGACAGGAATGCATTAAAACGTGAAAAAAGGTAGAAAACTGCTAAATTTCATTATATTTTTTCGTGTTCTACAAATGTTAAGGACGAGAGCTGCAAATTCCACATTTCAATAAAGGTGGGAATCTACGGATTGATTATTCAGGGTAGTCTGATGGGTGTCTCACTGTTGGAATTACATGTTCATTTACTAGGTAGTCATTGGCATCAGTCGACTAAATTATATGGCAGACATGGGCAGTATTCTTCGCAGTCGCTTGGTAGTAAAATTATATTTTGGTAGTACCTACATGTACATTTTTTACTCATGTGAGACACTCCTCGGGGTAGTCTAATAATAAAGGATGTTGGTTGTAACTCGGGAACAAATAATGGTAGAATGATAATGGAATGATGAAGGTAAGAAAATTATTAGTGATGGTATCACTCGAGTGACCGAGTAATTTTCACTCGAAATCTTGCACTTGAAATATCTCACTCAAAATTTTGCAATAACTTTTTCTTTAAGAATCGAAATAGATGTTTGAAACGAACTGAATAAAATCTTAAGTAATTGCTTTAAATTGCAGAAATGACTTGAAGCTAAAGTTTTTTCTTAACAAATAGAAGCAATTCTGACTGATTTGTTTAAAAAGATATGAATAAATTAAGGAAATGTTAGGTCGTTGCTTTAGAATTTCTAAAGGTTTGTTTACGCAAGTCATTTTTTAACATATACTTTTGTGCGTTGTGCGTGTTGGATTTTCGGGAAGATAAACGGTTTAGGTAAGAAAGATACCGTTTTCTAACTGCTTTGGGTGCCGTTATAGACTGTACGCATGTCAGAATTCCAAAATTTCATGAGTTTGGTGATGGATATATAATTATAAACAGCATTAACCTACAGCGCTGACAGGCAACTTGCACACCAAAAGAAATTTTCACAAGTGTAATCTGTCAATGGTCAGGCTTTGTATAGTACGAGAGCTAGCAACGTCGGAAAAATAAGTATTTTAAGACGTCTGGCTCTTTGATATATCTTTTACTATGCTCTCTAGAACAGCATGCGGCCCGTCTGCCGGTAAATGTTGCGTTCCCTACTGCGCATTGAAAGAAGATCCTATATATTTATTAGTCCTTTAAATTCTAGTATTTAATATAAATCGAACATGTCTCCATAGCGCAGTGCGTAGAGTTTCTGACCACCAACCGATGATTCAGAGTTCGAATCCGGGTCAGGGCAAAGACTTTTTTTATTATATTTTCGTTTATATTCTGATAGTAAAGTATTAAATATTTTTTTTTAATTTCCAGAATTATTTAATACTTTACTATCAGAATATAAACGAAAATAAAATACAAAAGTATTTGACCTGACCGGGATTCGAACCCCCTGATTCATTGGTTCGTGGTCGGTAACTCTACGCACTGCGCTATGGAGACATGTTCGATTTATATTCAATAGTAGAATTTATAGGACTAAATTAATAAAAAATGTAGGATCTTCTTCCGATGCGCAGTAGTGAACGCAACGGGTATCGGTAGCCAGACGGACCGCATGCTGTTCCAGAGAGCATAGTAAAAGATATATCAAAGAGCCAGACGTCTTAAAATACTTTCTCGAAAACTTTAGCTAGCTCTTAGACTAATACACCATAGCAGACTTTTCAAAAATTGTAATATAAACAACCTTCTTAAAAATACTACAGAAGAACTTGTATTATTAGGACACTATGGCTACTCGATATCGCCGGATTATGACTCCCTGGAGAAATCCTGCAAACCAAAGTGCAAACCAAAGGCAGCAAAATTATAATAAAGTTTGTTTTTTTCGAAAACGAATAAAAACGTTGTTATAATATACGAATAATATACGAATAGTATAACTTTATTATACAAAACGAATGAAAGCCAGGTTTCCTATACTCCAACTACAATTAGAAATAAATTAATTAGAAAAAATACCATCAATGATAATTGCATGTTTTGTACCTACTTCATAACGGTATAAATGAGAAAGATTCTCATTACCGAAATGAAGAAAATAATGTTAAAATCAACAACAAAATAACGATATCCTAACATCAACTATAATTCGCCAATAAAGACAACAAACAAGTAATCAGTAAATCAGTCAAACAGTAAATCAAATGCTCTTCAATTGGGTATATGCAATGTAAGTATTACATTAATAGAGAAGTATATAGATATTATAGATTTAAACAGCAAATATATGCTTCCTACTCAAATTTCCGAATCATGGTGATGGTTTGAATTTTTTTGGTGTGTTACATTTTATTTTAGTCTTTTTTAGACCTGTTAAATAAGCAAAACCTACAAAGGCCAAGAAAAAGCAGCATTTAAAAAGCAACAATTTTATTCATGCTGCAAAACACCTAGCAATAGCTTTTGGTTAGAGCAACCAAAAATTAATTATTGTAATAACGAAAAACCAATTAATAATAAGTGTTTATTGAACAAATAGACATTAGTAACCAGGGGCGCATATACGGGAGGGGTAATGGTGGTAATTACTACCCCCCCCCCCAGGAAGAAATTTACGAAGAAGATAAAATGTGATGTAAAAAAATTGTTATATATAAGAAATATACCACCAATCAAATAGAAAATAAATGCCAATCCAACTTTATTTTATTCCAAACTTTATGCGCAAATTTAATTTATTAATTTACACGAATATAGTACTTTCCGTAAATTAATATTATCACTACGTACACCTCCCAGATGCGCGTAGATGTGCCAGACTCAGTAACCAACACAGGTTGGTGGTCACAGAAACCTACACATAGCTATTTAGTGTGTGACATAATGCCTATAATTGCTTAAAGTAATTACTTGTTTTTTATTCATTACCATTAATGTTCAATATGCTTTTAATAATGAAGATGTGGCGCCTTCTAGAATCTTTTTCTCTATACCTACAACAAGTGCTAGAACTCTCTATTATTCGCACGCCTAGAGAGCAGTGAAAGGGGAACTGACAAAAAAGCAGGATTCGCTGTAGTAACGATAGTGGGTGTGTTGTGACGGTGATATGTTTACAAACAAAAAGATCGAGAGCGGTAAAATTGAATTTAAAAACAAGAGACAATAATTAATAATAAAAATAAACGAACTTAGACGTAGAGAAAAATAAGTTAGCATTTAAAGCACGGGCATTATTAATTCGTATTTTCATTCATTTTCTTTTTCATTTTTACGTTGATAGCATGTTAAAATTATTATTGCACTAATTTTCTCGCCAAATAACAAATATGTGGGTGTATATAATTGATAGTGGTAAACCTAGGCGACATTAGATCATAACGGCTCGTGCTGTTTATTAGAACATTTTACTAGTACCAGTAGTTTTTTAATAGATACGAAATTTTAAAATTAAAATTCGTATGTACACAACTTCCGGTTAGATTTTCAGGAAATTTTGTATATGCCTCCAGTTAACATGTAAGATGTTGGAGTTATGTCCAAACAAATGCAGAAATAGTATCTGAGAAATGTTATTTTTAGTGCAACAGAAACAGTTTTAGTCCAGAAGTTGTCGCCTTCCAGCGATTTAATTTTGTGGAATTGGTATACTAAATAAACCAGTTGTTATAAAGACATAGGGTAAGTTATTTGAATAAACTGTTTAGATTTTAAACCATCTAAGTATACTGTGAAAAAATAATATATTTGACTTCTAAAAAATCCGATATTAAGATGCAATAATTTGTATTTTATCTTTTGCTTCATTTTTCTAATGCAGACATGAATATATTAATATTACCTAATTTTAAAACTGTTATATTACTGTTTTAAAACTGTTATAATTATTATTTTCTTTTATGCTCTTTTTTATCTTCTTTTTAAAAACTTTAACTTTTTTTATTATTTGAGATATTTAGATTAGAACATTTTTTTAAAAATTGTAAGATTTGTAATCAAGTTTTACGGTATCCCAGTTATTGAAATTATCTATTTTTTTAAACAGGTCACACTATACAGGGTAGCCCGAAATGTATTCCGAAAACTTCGGTCGCATATTCTGCAGATAAAAATAAGTCAAAAAGTTCGTATAAATTTGTGTCCTAAAATATTTAGTTTCGGAGATACAGGGTGTAGAAGTTTTATTTAAATCTCGATTTTCTCAAATAATTTCTGAAGTAACGTCAATATTTGGATGAAAATAGGTATCTGGAAGTTTTGTGACATGAGAAATTTTGATTTTGATGTCAATATGACTCTTATTTGTAGGGGGCGCTACCTACATGTGTTTTAACTCTTTTGACGATTAATAATTTTTTGTCCGTACCTGTAGGTATAAAACTACTGAGTAAAAAAATATAAATTTACGACATTTTCTACATAAAAAATGTCTCTTGGTAAAAATCGCTATGAGTAATGGTTCTCGAGATATTTGGAATCGAAATTATCAATACCTGTTGTTATTGACATACATAAATTAAACATTTTGACTAAATAGTTATTGGACTGAAATCATAAATTTGAAATGTTTTAGTGCTAAAAGTTCAACAGTAACTGTTTTATCATTATTTTTTCGAAAAAAAGTTTATGTTTAATTTAAAAAAATAAAATGTTCCCAAGTTTATCATTTCAATCAAATAACTATCTATAATAATGACATTGTATTGACTAATTCTATTCTAAATATCTTGAGAACGGTTGCTCGTAGCGATTTTTACCAAGGGACATATTTTACGTAAAAAATCATGGAAATGTACATTTTTTCACTCAGTAGTTTTATACAGGTACGGACAAAAAGTTATTAATCCTCAAAACAGTTAAAACACATGTAGGTGGCGCCCCCTATAAATAAGAGTCATATTGACATCAAAATCAAATTTCTCATGTCAAAAAACTTCCTGACACCAATCTTCATTCAAGTATTAACATTACTTCAGAAATAATTTGGAAAAAATCGAAATAAAAATGAAACATCTACACCCTGTATCTCCGAAACTAATCATTTTAGAACATACATTTACACGAACATTTTTACTTATTCTTATCTGCAGAATATGCTGCGGAAATTTCCGGAATACAGTTCGGACCACCCTGTATATTAGAACTGTATAAGATTTCTAGTTTCAAAATCCTATAAGACATGTACTTTCTACACTATGTAACCGGATTGTCTTCACAAGAGGAAACACTTTTTATTATTGACATTTGGAGAAAAATGCATTCTTGATAAAACAAATTTCATTGTTTTAAAATGGATATCTTGTTTATACTTCCCAAATTTCCATACAGTTTTAGAGAAAATTAAAAAAAAACGTGAAAACATGCGACCATTTTAGAACAAGCAAATTTTTTTATGAAGAATGCATTTTTCTCAAAATATCAAAAATAATAAAAATCTTCTTATAAAGACAATCCAGGGACATACTGTATAGACAGTTTAATTTAAATTCCATAAATATGTTAAAATAGTGTGTAACAATGTTATGTTTAATTAAAAATTTAACATGGTTTCATATTTATGTTAAAAATAATTAGTTAGAAAAAAATGTGCTTCTAATACACAGTATGAATATATCTATAACTTTTTTATTATTAACTTTTTGAGAAAAATGCATTGTTCGTAAAAGATTTTGCTTGTTCTAAAATGGATAATTCTGTTTAAACTTTCCGAAATTTCCATGCCGTTTTAGAGAAAAATAAAAATAATATTATGAAAATATTGTTGAATTTTTCCCAAAATTCAAAAAGCGTTTCTATGGTAATGTAATTTTTAAGTTTTCATTCTTTAATAGATTGTGATTATTAATTTTGATTAACATCATATTTTTTGCTGTTTTGATATGTTAAAGAAGCACAAAATGTATTTGGTTCAATGTTGCGGAAAACATGAGTATAAATTTTTTGCTTCTTAAAATTTTAAAGTAACAAAATATATGACGTTGATCAAAATTGATACTAACCAGTTTTGATTTTTGAGACTTGAGAAAAATTCTATATTTTCAATTTTCTGTATATTTCTCTAAAACGGTATGAAAATTTAAAAAATATATAAAACGGAATTAGCTATTTTAGAACAAGCAAAAACTTTGATGAAGAATGCAAAAAGTTAACAATAAAAAAGTGTTTCCTCTTGTAAAGACAATCCGGAAACATACTGTACCTATAGTGTGTCTGTAAAAAATGTTCAAATCAATAGCAAAGTCGTCTATATCCAGTGGCGGATACAGGGGGAGGGCCCATGGGGCCCGGGCCCCCCCTAAAGTCTGTGAATTGTGTAAAATATTAGCCTTTTACGTTAAAAATGGCGCCCTAAAAAGCATATTCTACATTGCTTTTCATTTTGGGCCCCCCCTAAAATAAATTCCTGTATCCGCCCCTGTCTATATCAATCAACTGTGATATTTGACAGATGCATGTCATTTCTATTTTTGGAAAAAATCTTGAATTTTTTTTTAATTTTTAGTTAAAAAATATATCTTGATAATATGGCAACATAGGTAGTAGATAATATTAATAGATTTAGTATAATGAATACTTAGAAAAAAATCAAAAGGATTTCAAATTTTAAGCAAAATTTTTTTTTATTTTCAAAATAAAATAACTTGGTTATTTTGGACTTATTTGAAAAACGGTAAAGATAAAATATGTTTCTCTTATCAAGTTCTACCCCCGTAAAAAAACTTACACTTATTTAAGATTTATCCTCTGTATATTATTTTAAAATATATGATCAATAAGAGATCTTGTTATCTTTTTAAAAAGAGTATAATGAGTACAGTTTAAAACTCCAAATCTTAAAATAGCATGACTTCAGAGAAAACTACATACCTATAACAGTTAGTAATCCTGTCAAGAAGCTCATATTTTTTATTACCACTTGCAGCTATTTTAAAATTATTACATCTTCAAGGACAAAAACCTATGTAAAGACGTTTGTTTATTTTGATTGGGTAACTTGCAATACCCTGGAAGTAAATATTACACGTGAAAAGTAGCAGTTTCAGTTCGCAATTCACCAGGATAGTTCAATGGGAATCGTTAAATAAATGTCTAAATAAAAACATGAAAGAAAATCCTTATTTGGATGATGGTTATATGAATAGTCCAGCAAGTACTCCAGATACATCCATTAGCGATGAGAAGTTATTGTTTCGTTCCTTACGAGACAAGTCGAGCTACAGAAATAAATGGATTGACATCAGAAATGTTCCTATTGCCATTATAACAATCAGCGTCTTTCAGGTAAGTAATAAAAAAGCGTTATTTATTTAATGAATACCGTATTAATGCATGTAAAAGGACACAGCCTATACCAATTTTAATGTGTTAGTTTTTTCCAGGGTTGGCGTGATTTAAATCAAATGATTTAAATCAAGTGATTTTTTTAATTTTAATCATGTGATTTAAATCAAAAAGAAATGATTTTATTGAAATTTTATAATAAATCAAAAAATAACTGTAAAAGTTATAAAAATGTGTCATAGAAAACTAGAAAAGATACTTCTATAACATATATAACAAATAATAAATCGAAAAATAATTGGAAATATTAGAAAACTATATAAAAATATTTATTCATCAAAATTTAAATGTTGGACCGATTTTTGAAGAAATTTGTGGATCCATTAGACCGCTAAACGCAGGGATTAATTTTAAAATTTATGTATAAGTGACAAAAATTCGCTGTTCGAATACATATCCTTCGCAAAGTCTAGTGCAGAACTAGGTCCTTCTGATATAGATACTATATCTTCATTCCCGAGATTCTATAATCGTTGTCAGAAAATGTGTTGTTTTTTTTGAAACGGTATGTTTCCAAATTCCTACCGACATTTTAATCTACAGTAAGTACTTTACACTTTGACATTAGATAATACATACTAATTTCATTCTCAACTTAAGACTATTTCCGAACAATAGTGTATTCTTTTATTAGGAGTAAAAATTATATTTTTTTTGACGATGCTGTACCTTTGAAAGACCATCGTAAAGCTATTCCGACGTTACAGGGCGGCACAAAAACTACATTTTTACTACGAATATAACATACTATTTCTTTTAAAACATTACAAATAATTTTTTAATCAATTTCAAACATTGCAAATAATAGGACTCGAGCAACAATTTGTACACTCGTTGAATTTGACACTTAATATCAGTTTAATAATATATTTTTGTACTTTTGTGCTTAGGCGTAAAAGTGCTTTACTTTTATGCCTAGGCGTTAAAATGACAAAAGTTAATATTTTTGAGATGTTTTAAAAAAAATCCTTTTGATCTAAAGCGAGCGACTTTTTTTGCGGAAAATATTGGTGACCGATGTGGAAAAATGACAAACGCGCAGTAGAATAATTGTTAATGTTATCGGTATCGGGCAGAGTTATAAAGATTTAGCCATTTTGGATAGGACTTTAATTGGAAATAAGTCCTAGTCATTTGTAAATCCCATTTAAATATTGTTTTGAATTAAAATCAAAAAAATCTGATTTAAATAAAAAAAATCTGATTTTTTTTTAAATTATGATTTTTTCCAACCCTGGTTTTTTCCCTTCTTTAGTTGTAAGTTTATGGTGGGTTTGTCTTTGTATTCTATACCAGATAATGTACAGAATTGATTAATTATTATTATTGCTTTCATTCGTTCCCAATAAGCAATTTGCAACTTTGAGGAGACCTATAGTTTTCAGTTTCGTACTTCATTTTTGTATGATCGAAAAAAAACGGCGTCAGCGATGGCTATGAAATGAAGGTCGCTGTCATTTTATATGTAAATTTAGTTGAGAAATGTAATTTCCTAGCTAATGAATTTCCTAGCTAACTGAACGCCGTTTTTTTTTTTCGATCATACGGTATAATACATCAGTGATACATCGGATAAAGGCAGTGGAAGTTCGAGATACTTAAAAATGTGAAGAAACAAACAACTAATTTTTTATTCTTTTATTTTCAGTTGTTTTGTCATGCCTACTTTACGCCTACTTTGAATAAATGCCTTAGATTTGAACCCATTAAAAGATGGGAAGTGTGGAGATTTGCTACATACATGTTAGTGCACGATGATTGGTCTCATTTGACATTAAATGTAATTATCCAGTGTATCTTTGCAGCGTTTTTAGAAAGAAAGCAGGTAAATCAAAGTTTTATTAATTCAATAAAATATTTTTTGCTTAAAGTTTGAGAACCGCTGGATCTTTCTGGATCTCTCTGGAGTTTTCTATTTTGTAAATTTAATCTTACTACCCATGTTTTTTATTCAAAAATTAAAAAAAAACTTTCAATTGTTTTTCGCGCTCATATTCATGTTTCTGGGGTCGAAATATACTACCCCTAAAAATATTTATTATATGTATTAATAATTTATTTGAATTAAACGTTTATATAATTTCAGGGCCATCTGAGAGTACTGATCATATATTTGGCTGGTGGAATTACGGGAGTATTAGGAGCCACTTGTGTTCATCCAAATCTTGTGATTGGATCTTCTGCTGGAGGATACTCACTACTATTATCTAATGCAGCAGATCTCATTTTGGTAATACCTGCAATATTAATAATAATAAAATAAAGCTCCACCAAAATATCCATAAAAATTCTATATTTCCTTAAAAACTGAAATTATAGAAGTATATGGTAACCAATTCAGTAAGAATATACAGTGGGGAGATTGCTCACGTAAAAATAAGGTTTATTTTTCATATCAACATAGGTCCGATTCTGCTTTGTTTCGTAGACACAGCCCAAGCAGCATTTGGACGTCGGGACAACGTTGTGTCACGCGACCAAACGTCGGGGCGCAACGTCGGCACAACCTCGTGCCAACCCTAGTCTGCACTAGTTTGGAGAATAATTTTTGGGTCGAAACGACGTTGGATACCGACGTTGGCTAGAAGCCTAATTTAGTACAAACTGCAACGTTGTTTAAAATCCTAATTCACAGAAATACAAAACTAATATGGCGTCTAAGCGCGTTTTATCCTAAATTGGGATAATTATAGTAAAAATATTATTTTTATGATTTAGTTAGAGACATATGTCAGATGGCAGTGAAGGAAAATAAAACAAAAGTATTTAAGTGTGGAGGATGTTTGAAGATCATAATTATTGAAACACTTTAACCGACTCTGTAACTCGTTACCCAAGGCAAAAAGTTAAACGCAAACAACTTTATTGATAAATGTATTGTTTCTACTTTGAAAAATACTAATGGGCCTTAAAATTAAAGAAGTTTTAAAAAAAAAATTTGAAGTTTTTTTTAGTAAAATGAGAATAATTTATTCGCAGTCGAAAAAATTGTTTCCGCGTGTTTTTTAGGGTCAAATATTTCAAGTTAATGTATTCAAAAAGCAGGAATTGCTATTTTAGGAAAATGGATGATGAAACATTTTCTTATTTAACAACATGGCGGCTTTCACTTTGTTGTTTTGGAGATTAAGATGGAGTAGTTCGAGTAGTCGCATACTGGACTAATAAAGTCGCAGTTCGGCCTTAACAGGTAGTATATTAGTCGCAAGATTGCCTAATTTAGTCATCTTAGAGTCTAGCTTGTGCCGCCCTCTACAATCTAAATAAACGAGGGAGTGGATAAACATCGGTAATATATGTCGATGTATATTTAAATTTAGTTTTATATGTACCTTTCTTATGTCCCATTTTAATTAAGTTTTTTTTTATAAAACAGCACTGAACTGTCTGACTGAACAGAACAATGAAGTGGAAATTTAAGATTTAAGGTTATGGTTCAATACAGTTGCAAAAAGGTAGTGACTCGACGTCCTACCAACGTAAGAATAAGGAAATCTAAACAACGTTGGAATTAGTAAAACAGACGACGTTTGCATAACGTTGGAATAGGTCCTGAAACTGACGTCGGAAAACTCTATATTGTCCAACGTTGTAACTACGTTGTCCGAATCACCTAAAGATCACTTAAGCAAAAAAGGTTACATGACAACGTTCATTCGACCTCGCAGAAACTTCTACTTTGCTGTAGTACTAGTCCAACGTCGGCACAACGTTATAAAAACGTTTAAATTTATTTTAATACTCAAGGTAGGGAGCTAACTATTTTTTGTAACTAATCCAACGTTGTGTTTAGTAAACATGTGGTCGCAAGTCGTGAAAATGCTACCTTGGGAGGGTGTTAAAATCTTAAAAATCTATGGATTTATTAAAATTTTCTTCCAAGTACTCTTAGTGATTCGAATGAAATTTTGAGGGTAAAAGTTACTAAAAGTGCTACATATTTTAATGCTAAAAAAGGGTCGATAAATTCATCAGGGACATGCATATAGGTTGTCACTGGAATATTTTTCAAGAAAAAAACATGTGCGCCACTGACTTTTACTTTTGATATCAAAATTATTTAGGCCGTTTAATGACAATTAAAAGTTATCTCCTGGTATTTTGTCGAATTCGGCATATCTTGGATGAGATAAACGTAATTTTATTAATCACAATAATTAATAAAATTAATAAATTATATATTTACCTAATTTATTATTAAATATTATTACTATTGGTCATTATTACTATTAGACCAACCTACAGTGATTTCAAATAAAACAATAATGGTAGGTATTTAAGAAAATTACAAAAACCCAATTTAAAAAGTTTTAACATCCTGTATACCCATGTTGATAGGAACTTTTTTTATATTTTTTCATGAAGAATCAATGAGTACTTATTTAAAACTTTCGCAAGTTAATGATATTATTTTTTTAAGAGTTGCTATTAGTCTTGGATCACGGCAAATTAATAAAATTGCATTTATCTCATCAAGGAGGCCGAATTCGACAAAATATCAAGAGACAACTTTTAATCGGCATTAAACTGCTTACATATGCGTATTTCGCTAACAAGAAAAAAAAGTCAGTGGCGTATATACTTTTTTTTCGAAAAATATTCCTGTGATAACCCATATGCACGTCCCTGGTGAATTTGTCAACGCTTTTTTGCTTTTTTAGATTCCTCATGTAAAAAAAATTGGAGCCGGGAGGCACGTATAACCGCCCATACTAAAATATGTTAATAAAAAGTTGGTAGGCAGTTCTGTTAGTTTCAAAGTAAAGGAATTTTTCCAATTTTGGTCCGCGGTTATTTCCCCTATCCGCCACCTGGGGTCGCGTCCGATGGGAGTTTGGAGTTCTCCACATGGATTTTCTCAAAAACGAACTACGGAAACACGGAACATCTCAAAAACTGCGACTTTGACTGATTTTGATGTTATTACTAATTTTGTTGCAAATATTATTCCTAATCTTAAATTGAAAAGTAGCTAGCGAAACGCGGTTTTAATAAAATTAAAAAGTAATTTTGGAGTTAAAAAAGTAATTTTGGAGTTACGATTTTTTAAATTTTTTAACCCCCTCCCATACCCCCTCTTTACCAACCCCCACCCCACCAAAAACTAATGGACAGATTCTCGGGTGCCACAATACTTTTGTGCCAAAATCAGTGCCAAAAAGTGTGTTAAAATCGGTTTAGCGGTTTTTGAGTTAACGTGTTACAGACAAGACAGACAAACAGACACCATGAAAATATTTTATATTTGGGTCATTTATGACCCAAATAACTCATTTTGAGTGAAATTGAAAAAAAAAGTTTGCCGATTTTAATAGCCTACCATACCTGTTGGTATGGTCGGATAATAAGGTAGTCGATAAATAACATAGGTCCGATTCTGCGTTATTTCGTTACTTCATAGCTACAGAGGGCGGTTATAGTCTTATTTTTTTTCCAATTTATTATATTTTTCTTTTAAGAAAATATACATATATAAAATTACGTTTATCGCATCAAGAAGATCGAAATCGACAAAATATTAAGATACAACTTTTGATTTGCCTATACAATTTTGTTAACAAAAGAAAAAAAGTCAGTAGCGCACATGTTTTTTTTTTAAATATTTCGGGGATAACCTATATGCACGTCCCTGGTGAATATGTCGACACTTTTTGAGCACTAAAATATGTAGCACTTTTTGAGTATTTTTTTACCCTCAAAATTTCATTCGAATCGATATAAAACCACTTGGAAGAAAATTATAATAAATCGAAAAAAAAAGATTTTAAGCCCTTGTAGCTACAAAAGAAAGCCGAATCGGACCTATGTTGATATAAAAGATAAATACTATTTTTTACGTGAGGAATTTCCCCGCAAGAGATGGCAAATGTTTTTTGAAACACCCTGTTAACCTAGATATTAATAAAAATATTTTTGTAGAACTACGAAATTATCACATACAAACTTTACCGTTCTGCCTCGATCGCCACACTAGTGTTATTCGATATCATCTTTGATGTTGTCCATGTTTCATCAAAAAAGGAGCCCCAAGTATCCTGGCAAGCTCATCTCGTTGGAGCAGTTACAGGTCTACTTTTAGGTACTAACTTTAAAAATTTACGAAATTAAATACAAATTAATTTATATCCATTTGTAGGTTTAGTAATATTCCAATGTGATACAACTCGACACGCTACATTAAGGAAATCGTTCTTTTGGTTGGGATGCATTTTATATTGTGTTTTACTGGTAACATTTATTATTGTAGCTGTTCAAATCGGGAAGTGTACACCGCCTGAAATAATTCGTGTTCATTATATTTATATGTGTTAAAAATGTGCTGGCAATAACCAAGAAAGGCCGTAAAAGAATAGATGAATGAATACGACAAAAGACCCTGTAGATGTCATCCACAAAATTAAATCCTCCAAGTGGCAATGGGCAGGACACCAGGACCTAGCAAGATGGACGGGCAACAGATTGACCACAAAAATTACAGCATAGTACCCACGAGGAATTAAAAGGTCTAGAGGAAGACCGAACCTGAGATATTGAGATACTGAGATATTACCATGATATTAGGAAATTAGCAGGAATAACTTGGGCCCGCATAGCCAACAATAGACAACAAGCCCAACAACACAGAGAGTATCTAAATTTGTGAGGGAAGCTACACCATAATTGGAAATGGTTGAATAAGCTGAAAATTATGATGATGACACTGGATAGACACAATATCAAACACTGAAGTACTTTTTAAAACTGGGAAAACTTGAACACACCAGGTAAACATAAAAATAAATAAGAATTCAAAACTATGCTCTGCTATCCACCGTAAAGCATGAAATCAGTAATCGTCTAGATCTATATTAAGCATTTAAAATATGGACATACAAGATCATTTTAAAGATACACTGGATAGACAATATATCAAAGTACTTTTTTTCAAAACTGAGAAAACATGAACACACCAGTTAAAGATAAAAATAAATAAAAATGCAAAAATTGTGCTCTTCTACAAACCATCTAATGCTAGATATAAAGAAAAAGAAGCGCTGGAAGAAGATGCATTGGCTGAACAAATTGACAGCGACACAATTGTAACTCCACTAAGTTTAGTAAATTGCAATAAGCATGATCAACAGTGATTGGTACTAATCACGCTATATGCACAATATGGCATCAAACGGACATACAGCATACAGCTTTCTATTTCCGGTTGGAAATGTGCTCAAATAGAAAATTTAACAAACTAGAAAATTGTTTTTGTAACAGGTACAATAATGTCATATAACGAAATCGACAAAAATAAACCTTGTAAATGGTCTTGTCTTTCCGGTTATGCTTTATGCTTCGGAGACATGGACATTTAGCAGCCGACAGACGACGCATTCGAGATGTCGTGCTGGAGCAGGATGTTGCAAATACCATGGACAGCACATCGCACCAATGTGTCGGTCCTTAACGAAATCCAATTATCACAAAGACTTTTCAGCACTGTCTATAAACGTATACTTTCCTTCTTCGGCCATGTCAACAGGAGCGTGCACATGGAGAGACTGGTAGTACAAGGAAGACCTGCAGGATCCCGTCACCGAGGCAGATCACCAACCAGGTGGGTGGACATGGTTGAAAAACTTATGAATACCAACCTGGAGGGAGCCGTTCGAAAGACAGAAAACAGGGAAAATTGGAGACGGGCGGTGCGTGCGGCCGTCAGGTCCTTGGAGCCAGAACCAGAGCCACTACACGTCGTACGCGACGTACGGACTTAGACGACAAAAATGTATTCATACGCCTATGAATCCAAAAAAAAAACAAGAACAGGACTACACAAAGACACCCACAAAGGGCACAAAGCGCTTTTATACATCAAAATTCACGCACATGGCGATACTAAGTCGTACGAAAATGCGTAACTTGCAGTTGAAAAGGGGGGAGAATTAGTTTAATTTTTTGAAGGCCAGATATAAAAAATGTCTAAGTAGTCAACATATAGTGTACACAAAGTGCAGGACTCCATTTTTTACGATCTAGAATTATTGTAAGTTAAAACTTCCATTAATAAATTTAAAATTATAAGTATGCTGAATTAAAGGATGTTTCAAAACATCAAATTGATGAAATTAATAACCAATGTATTTATTTATCACTTTTGGGTAAAAAATAAGGATTTTTGAAACACACGATTTTGAATTAGAGTAATGTATCATTTTTTAAATTTAGGTTTTTTTTAAAGGGTTCGTGAAATAAATTATTATTGCATTTAACTCCAAACCGTGTTAATTCAGATACACACGAGTATAAATTAAAGGCTCCAAGAGATTAATGTTATATATTGTAATGAGTAGGGAAGAGATTTCTATGCAACCCTATTTGCTATAAATTTGAAACAAAATCATAAAACAAAGATCTGCAATCTGTAATGGTATATTCGCGACAGATAGACAATAACTAAAAGCGAATATGTCTACGTTGTGTAAACAAATCTTTGGACAATCGCTTGATGAGAGACTTTGTGAAGCCATAAGACTTCCTGATGACAAATTAGCAAAATTCGTTTGAAAATATACAGGGTGGTCCGAATTGTATTCCGGAAACTTCGGCAGCATATTCTGCAGATAAAAATAAGTAAAAAAGTTCGTATAAATGTATGTCCTAAAATGCTTAGTTTCGGAGATACAGGGTGTAGAAATTTCATTTTTATTTCGATTTTTTCCAAATAATTTTTGAAGTAACCTCAATATTTCGATGAAAATTTGTGCCTGGGAGTTTTTTGATATGAAAAATTTGATTTTGATGTCAATATGACTCCTATTTCTAGGGGGCGACATGTCTTTTAACTGTTTTGAAGAGTAATAACTTTTCGTCTGTACCTGTATAAAACTACTGAGTGAAAAAATATACATTTCTGTGACTTATTACGTAAAAAAGGTCTCTTGGTAAAAATCGCTACGAGAAATGGTTCTCGAGATATTTGCAACGGAAATCATCAATACCTGTCATAATTGACATAAATTAAACACGGTTGAGACTAAACAGTTATTAGACTGAAATCATAAATTTGAAATGTTTTTGTGACAAAAGTTCAACAGAAACTGTTTTATCGTAATTTTTTCGAAGAAAAATTTATAATTAATTTAAAAAAATAAAAATTTCCCATATTTATTATTTCAGTCAAATAACTATCTACTCAAAGTGTTTATTTTTTGTCAATAATGACATGTATTGACTATTTCCATTCTAAATATCTTCAGAACGGTTACTCGTAGCGATTTTTACCAAGAGATATTTTTTACGTAAAAATACACGGAAATGTATATTTTTTTACTCAGTAGTTTTATACAGGTACGGATATTGGCGTAACTACAGGGGTGCACGGGGGTGCCCCCCCTTAGGTACTGCTGGGCACCCCCGAGAGCAATCCTGAATTATAACTCTTGGCTACGTATTAATTTTTATTTGCTTGTGATGCAGTAAAAATGACGTTTTCTAGTTTTGTTTAGTTAATATTATTTTGTTTAGTTAGGTTAGGTTAGGTTAAAATGTGTTAATATTTATTTTTTTATGAAAATTTGTAGGTATTTAACTCGGTGTTTAAGTAATCTACGGGAACACGGTTTGATAACCAAGTCTATGAAATTTATTGATAGAGAAATTCATGTAAACGTTTTATTCAAAAAATGTGTTTTTTTAAAATTATTTTTCATTTTTAAAAAAACAAAAGCCCTAGGCCCCCCCAGGCACACCCCAGGATAAATTGCTAGTTACGCTAATGGGTACGGACGACAAGTTATTACTCTTCAAACAATTAAAACAAATGTAGGTGGCGTCCCCTACAAATAGGAATCATATTGACATCAAAATCAAATTTCTCATGTCAAAAACCTCCCAGACACCAATTTTCATACAAATATTGACGTTAACTCAAAAATTATTTGGAAAAAATCGAAATAAAAATGAAACTTCTACACCCTGTATTTCCGAAACTCAGCATTTTAGGACATACATTTATACGAACTTTTTTACTTATTTTTATCTGCAGAATATGCTGCCGAAGTTTCCGGAATGCAGTTCGGACCACTCTGTATATAATTGGTAAAATATCACCTATGACGACCCAGACTCCTGTGATAAACAAACATAAAGGATCTAGTTCTATTAGTGAATTGACCCATATTTTTCTATAAAACTACTGTTGTTAGAAATGTTAGTGTTATTAGAAATTGGGAGTTACATGGAAATGGAGTTAATAAACTCCATTTTCTAATAAATTGTCTTGAAACAGTTTTAAATCACAGTAAAACACCACAGATTTAACAAGATATATTTTTCACATAAGTTTAACATAATACAAAAATAATGTGGGATACTGAAATAATTATGCAACAATTAAATTCTACATTACAGAACTAAATTGTTACATTTTATGTATGTAGTAAAAGAATAATTTCAGGTGTTCCAATATATTAAATATTTAGAAAAATAAAACAGATATGTACACAAACAGTTAAAGAAATATAACCGTTTCAAAAATTATCACAAACTCAAATGCCCTTCTTAAAGTTTTTGTGTTTACATACTATGTTGTTTAAGTTCAAGATGGCTGGTCGAACCTTCTAACAGGGCATGGATATTTTCTGGAATTTTTCCTTCGTCAATGTCTCTGGCAATCTGAACATACTATAACAAAAAATTGTCAGTCAGTTTTCATAAAAAAAACTCTATTTAAATTCAAAAACATAAGGTTAAAAAAATATGAATTTCAATAATAAGTTTCTGTTTATTATTATTACTAGTGTTTTTCCTTGTTATTATATATCTTATCTCACTGTAGTAAAAATAGATCATACCCTTTCCAGTTCCTTTCTGAGAGCAAACACAGCTTTCTCTCTATCTGCTACTAGTTCTTCCAGGTATTGGTATCTTAACTTTTTTCGGGCTCTACATTCTCTGGCACTTTGTCGGCTGCGTTCTAAATACAGATGTAAAAGTTAGCAGGGAATATTTCAACTCAAGCAATTAATAAACTAAAGAAGGAGCCTCAGAGTCTCTCTGTGTCTTTATATTTATTAGATAAAAGCGGAAGGGTCGTCATGACAACAACTTCGAGACACCTTTTTTGTCATTTTTTTTTATTTTTCTCTATATTACCCAAGTAGTCCCCCCCCCACAAGTACCAGAGTGGTAAACTAATTGGTTAAAATTTCGCCTGGAGTTAACTAATTATGTTTTTATTCTCGTATTTACGACTACTATTCAAAAATAATTAAGATATGCAATTTTCTATTCATTTTCTTTTTATTCAATTTGAATTATTATTAAGACGTTGTTACCTCAATATAAACTAGTGAGGGACGGGGGCTGCGTGTATTATATTCATATTAATTATTTTAATGTTAAAAAAACCAAATGACAATGATCGACCGAAATTTAAGTCAGCCATATTAAAACCCTTTCACGGACTCGCCACACACAATTTTCCTGATATAGAAGAAAACATAAAGTTGATGATGGTGGCCAAAAAACGAAACGTCAGATAACAAATCTGAAAACACTTGTGTAGCTGACAAAAGTGGCAATAAAAATACGCCTTTAGCTTTGAGCGAGGGGTGCCTCACTTTGGTAAAAAATGTACATGTACTGCCAAAATATCATTTTGTTGCCAAGCGACTGCCAAACACTACGAAGAAGACTGCCTATGACTGCCATGTAATTATTATAGGCGATTGCCGTAAGACTGCCAATGACTGCTGAGAAAATTTACATGTAATTCCAGTAGTGAGAAACGACTCGGTTTTGAGATACCTTGTAAGAAATAACGTCAGAAAAAAATAATAAAATCAAAATCTTCAATTTTCGGTTTTCCTCCAATATCTCCGAAAATAACTCAGAATTTCAATTTTTTCTAAGCGCCATATTATTGGGCAGATTAATGCACAACTTTGCCCTAATTAACGAACCTCGTATCTCCTATAGTTCTCGAGAATCTGAAATTTTGTATATTGTATATTTTTGTATTTTGAAATTACCCTGTATATACTGGCATTAGTTATATCATAGTTTAAGGAAAAGAGTAGTTGCACTCTCGCAAATATTTTCTGCCAGTTTTTGCAAGCTGTCGAATATCGGCAGGTTGCAAAGCGTTTCAGTTGAATTCCGTCCGTCGAGATGCGAGGTTCGAGCGTTGCGTTCCCACAGAGACGGATTGATAAAAAATGAGTGCATTACTGTGTGCTGCTATTAATTGTAGTAATAATTCAAAAAATTGTTCTTAGAGTTTTTTTAGATTTCCATCGGATATAAATCGGCAAGCTGATAGTAATTATCAATTAACATTTAATTATATTTGGTTATTTTAGAAGCTCAGATATTATGTAATTAATTAAATGTTATTATTTTTTTAGCATGTGGGCAGATTTTAAAAATAGTTTTTTAGATGTACAGATTGTCTCAAATATGCGCATGAAAATATTTTTTGGTCAGGGGATTTGCCATAAAATTTTCATTCCAATAATAGTTTACGAGATAATTTATATAGATTTATTTTTGAAACCATTTTAGAGTAAATATTTTGTACATCTAAAGTCTCCGCAAATTATTCATATTTTTTAATTGAAAGAATTTTATAATAGCATAATCTCTCTAATAAATTTAGTGGACTGTATTTTTTTATGTTTTTTTTATTTATTTTTTATTATAAGTGTCGTAATATAACAATATTCAAAATATTATAGACAAAATATTGAGTTTATATCTGAGGGAAGAAAAGTGCTACACCTAGCTTTAAACCACCTTAAATATACAGGGTGGCCCATTAGTGCGAGGAAGTCCAATATCGTCGTCGTTGTCGAAGATGTGAAAAAAGTTTTATTCATATGTTTCAAGGTTTATAAAGGGGCGTATCCTAAAATATTTTGTTATATACAGGATGTCACAAAAAAGGTATGGTAAAGTTAGTTTTATTTTTTTTAAATTATTTTACATCATTCTATATACATTATTCTATTTCGCACTCATTTTACCGTTGAAAGAGGATTATTTCACCGGATAGCATAGCTGCTGTGTTGGAGCCTCATTTATTACGCACTCATTTCTGGGACACCCTGTATAGGGTATTTTTTATGGCGTCACCAAAATCGGAATACGTAAAATGGTATATCTCAATTTTTTTAAATGCCACATTCTGTATATTATTTTTCTGTCAGATGCAGAATTAAAAAGTGAACATTTTTTTATTTAAAGGATTTCTAAATTTTTAACGGTTTCGCAGATATTCTCAGTATTATATTACATATGGCTCTTTAAACAGTAATTTTTTATCAAAGCCACCTAATATGATCTTTGTCTGATATTTTATCGTTGGAAATCCCATATGTAATGAAATACAGAAAATATTTGCAAAACGGCTAAAAATTTAAGAACACTTTAAATACAAAAAATGTTTACCTTTTAATTCTACATCTGAAAGAAAAATAATATACAAGGTGTTGCATTTAAAAAAAAAAAGATACAATATTACTTAAATATTACGATTTTGGTGACGCCTTAAAAAATATCCTGTATACGATAAAGTAAATTAAGTAAATATGCTACATGGTATTCTTCGTGTTTAAGAAAACATAGCTAAGTATTAATAAAGTTATATTCACTCTAGTTTTTTCCACCTTTCCTATATATAATGTTTTTAACCAAAGTTTTAGTAAATACGAAATTGAATGGCCACACCGCAGTGTGCTTTAAATAAAGACGGTGTACTATATGAAGAATTTTATGCCGAATCCAGTTATGTACAGAAAATTAAACTTGTTTTAAATAAAAAAAAAGTTGTAGAAAATCTCTGAGATAATAATATAAAAATATGTCATATATTTTTTCCGCATTTCTTCCAATCAGAAGATTTTCAGATACAGAAGAATTTTTGCCTACGCGAAATGTGAAAATATTCTGTTTTCAAGCAAGTTTTTACTCGATGATCAATTTTTTTATTTTATTTTATTATAAACTCATATTTCCCTAAATACATATCTGTGAAACTATGGCGAGTGCCACGACTATACTTTGCCTAGTTAATAGACCACGACTATACAGCTACGTCAGTGGTCACGGGAGGCGAGAACAAGGTCATATAAAGTGGCAGAAAAAGAATAAAGGATTTGACAAGGAGTAAAACTACTAGTTTCCTTATACTATGGTTATATATTCAATATTTATAACAGGACACTGTCTCCTTAACAAACACCTCAGTAGACTGAAGCTGAGAAACAACGGCGAATGCAGATTCTGTGGGAAAAATGGAGAAACACTGGAACTGTGTGATATCACTAAGTGTGCCAAGATAACCATTCGTGATACGGTTGACGTTAGAGATGGAAAGCCGTCTCAGATACTGACTTTTGTCAAAGCCATGAGACAGTGTTTGATGAGTTATAACTCGTTATAACTCAAGAAAGGGGTGTTTGAACACACAATAGATCTGTAAGGTCGCGGTGATATCTCTCCCCCTCCTCCTAAACATTCTATTCTATATATTCGGTTAAAAACTAAGAATAATTTGATAATTAGTTTCTTAAGGTACAAAAACTCACCTAGTTTGGCTTTCATGTCAATTTTGTCAGCAGATTTTCGCCCCGGCTTTCTTCCTCTCTTGCCCGACTCCCTACGCTGTGGTCCCTCCTAAAACAATATGAGATGAAAATAAATGTACCACTTACCCGAACTAAAAGTTATTAGACTACATCTAAAATTAGTTGAAAATACTGTATTTTCATCACCATTGATCGAGGGGTGTCTCACTCGGGTAAAAAATGTACACGTACTGCCAAAATATCATTCTACTGCCAAGCGACTGCCATGTAATTATTATAGGCGACTGCCAAGAAAATGTACATGTAATTCCAATAGTGAGACACCCCTCGCCATGGATGTACTGCTTCTATGGTATTGCTCGTTATTATATCCTGGCAATATACAGTTAATAACGTTCCCCAATTTTTCATATAGGTCATACCAAATAAACTTTCAGTCACGTGGTTAAGCTTTTACATATTTTCTTTTAATCAAAATATTTTAGGAAACAAAAATAAATAAATTAGAAATATAAACAGTTATTATTTACATCAACAAAACTCCCTTCCTTAACATCATTTACTACTTTATATTATTACTACCGATTTTCCGTTCAATAAATTCTAATAAAAGTGTGTCCAGACCAGAGTTGTTAAACTACACGTAGTAATTAATAAACTACATTTACTACATGTCACAAGTAGTTTTTAAATGTTGAGTAGTAAATGTGTAGTTTATGTAACTAATGTAGTTTTTTTAAATATCAGTGAAAACATAACCTAAAAACTTTGTTTGTTGATCAATTTAAGAAATAAAAAATCTATATTTTGTGAATTTGTTCCATATTATGTGATATTTTTGATACTTAGTATTTAAAAATTAGAATTTATAGTTTATTTTGTGTTTAATGTTACTTTGTATTTCATAGAAAATACAATTTTATTGAAAAAAAAATTGTATTTTTTTTCTGATGTTGTTTAACTTATACAAATATAATACCGTATTATCGAAAAAAAACGGCGTCCAATTGGCATTCCAGATCGATGACATTTCCCATATAATTTTACACATAAAATGACAGCGAGCTTCATTTCATAGCCATCGTTGACGCCGTTTTTATTCGATCATACGGTATAACTTCATACTTCCATGATAAGAATTTGGCTTGATTTTTGTTTAAAATCTAAATTGTTTATGTTTTACTATATTTTTGTAGGTAGTTTTTAATGTAGTTTTTGAGTTTTTAAAATTTTAAAACGTAGTTAATACAAAAAACTATGCGTAGTTTTTGGCGTAGTTTTTTGCTTCATAAACTACTTAACAACCCTGGTCCAGACCTGTCGAGACGAGAGTAGTGGCGAGAGTAGTAGATGAGACCCGAGCGAGGCAAGAGCGAGACAAGAGCGAGACAATGGCAAGACGAGAGGGAGACATCTTCTATCTATTTCTTGAGGCAAGCCTGCCACGAGACAAGCGAGTTAGATCATAGTGAAAGGAATGTTTGTATCTTTAACATGGTATTTCGTATTTTATTCATCGTCGCCATCGGTTTTTTCTCTTTTGGTTGTTTTTCCCTTTAGCCCTTCATTTGTTTCGAGACACGACGTCTTTTACAACATACGTTTTTAACCTTTTTTAGAGCAAAATGTTAAATAGGAAAGTTATAGGGAAGGTTAAGAAGCACATTTTAAAATTATTACTTATTATATATATCTTATTAATTAGTACTTCAAAAAATCTTGCCATAACATACTTTTTAATGGAAATACCCTATTTTAGCCGACCATACCAATAGGTATGGTAGGCTATTAGGATCGGCAAAAAAAAGTTTTTTTAATTTCACTCAAAATGAGTTATTTGGGTCATAAATGACCTAAATACAAAATATTTTCATAGTGTCTGTCTGTGTCTGTCCGTCCGTCTGTCCGTCTGTAATTATCGTGTTACTCAAAAACCGCTGAACCGATTTTAACCAAATTTGGCACAAAAATACTGTGGCACCCGAGAATCTGACCATTCGTTTTTGGTGGTGGTGAGGGGTTGGTAGGGGGGTATGGGAGGGGGTTAAAAATTTTAAAAAATCGTAACTCCAAAATTACAGTAGCTAGCGAAACGCGGTTTTCAAATTAAGATTAGGAATAATATTTGCAACAAAATTTGTAATAACATCAAAATCAGTCAAAGTCGCAGTTTTCGAGATATTAACATATTTTAGAATGGGCGGCTATACGTGCCTCCCGGCGCCAATTTTTTATTTTATTATTAGATTCTACGTACAATTCGATTGCTTTTTTTGCATATGATCTATTATTATATCTAAAATTAATAGATTTTGTAATAATTCAATTTGTTTAAAGAAATGTTCGGTAAAAATTATCAGTGACGCAAAATTTCTAAATTCTATCAGAAAAAATGATAATACAACGGTGCACCATTTAAAAATTGGAGATTATTTAATTTTAAATAGTTGAAATTCATAAATCGCAGTCGAGCGAGCCTACCAAAAAACACTAAGCCTAAAAACTAATCATTTTTAATGCATTTACTGAACAAATATATCGCCATTATAAAGAGCGTGAGTCTTACATAAGTGCAAATATTTTCAGGGCTGGTAGATCTCCATAGAAGAAACATATTTTCTCTTTACCGTTTTTCAAATAAATCTAAAATAACCGAGATATTTTTTGTTAAAATTTTGAGAACCACTGTATCTTTTCTGGATTTTCTTTCTTGTAAATTTAATCTACTATCTATGTTGCCATTAAAATATATCTTTTAACTAAAAACTAAAAAAAAAAAATCCAAAAAATGTTTCAACAAATTCCAAATTTTCGATTTTTTTTTCCCGAAAAAACCCTCATAATCGTGTTTCTGGGATTGAAATATACTACTCCTAAAAATATTTGCACTTATTTAAGACTGACCCTGTATAGACTTAATGAATATTTACTGTATCTATAAGGATAAAAGTGCCACAATAGTACTTTCTACCTGTGCTTCCTACCCTAATGGAAAGTAGCCTTTCAGGGCTGTTACGAAATTTTACACTATCGCCATTCGCTTTGGCATTAAATTGTGTGTTTCAAAAAGCAAATTTCTGGAAAAACGGTTTAACATTGTTCGTAAAAATAAACAAAATATATTATTTTTGTTTAACCTTTGAAGGGCTGTAGTTTCTTCGATAAGCATTTTAGGGCATATGTTCATAGAAACTTTCTGTTTTATTTTTTTTTGTAAAATCACCCACCGAAGTTAGATATACTACTTTTTTGACACCCTGTATACACTTTTGGACCAATTTTTAATTTTTGGCAAATAAAATTTTATCAATTAAGTTCAAGGTTATTAACGCGACTTAACTAAAAATTAGTACTTATCTCTCAACAACATTTACAAAAAAAATTGTATTTGTCCGCATACATATTTGTTATATCCTGGTATTGTGGGGAACGATTGAAATATCTGAATGCATAATTCCTTATATTACAGTGATTGCAAAATAGATAAACATTTATAAAATAGCTTGACGAAGAATGAAATTTTTGGTGCCATGTAAAACGTCATTTAGCCACAAATTCATATAGGGTGTTTCAAAAAATGTGCCGTCTCTCGTCGAAAGATTCCTCAAGTAAAAATGAGATATATTTTTTATATCAACATAGGTCAGATTCTGCTTTGTTCGTAGCTAGAAAAAAGTCAAGGCTGTGACACACGAGCTAGCGTCACGACACGCCTTACGAAAAGTAGTAAAGATCAAAAAAATGATAAGCCAATGAGGAAGTTGGGGTGGATCTTTAGAGCGTCGTAACTCGGATCCTATCTAATATATATATATATATATATATATATATATATATATATATATATATATATATATATATATATATATATATATATATATATATATATATATATATATATATATATATATATATATATATATATATATATATATATGTATATATATAGGGGGCTGAAACTCTATGTAGAATCATAGATCATCCTCAAAGAGCCCCATCTTTTCATGATATTTTGACGACGTCTCGTGCACTATGAAACCCCATCATCAATGGCGAAATATCGTCCAATTTAAATGAAATTTGGTATGTGGATAGATTGGACCAAGGTAAACTTAACGGTGTACGACACATATCACTGAGTAGTTTTGACGTAAAAAACGTCAAAAGTTGATGTCCGATCGCGACCAATATTGGTGGGTAAGCTATGTGAGCGACGTCAAATACACGGTCCCACCCTGCATTTTTTTGTATGGCAAAAAATGGCATGGATAAAGAAAAAAATAAATATGTAGATTAGGGTGAGCCAAAAAAACTGATGAAAAAAACGAACCTATGGAATTTAAGCATGGGTTAAAGTGGTTCTAAACCTGGAGGCTGTTACAAGGGGGACATGCAGCTGTTTCCAAAATATCATTTTCGAATACAAACCAAAAAAGCTCATAAAAAAACATAAAAAAATATTATTTCTTATAATAAATAATTATTTTTTTATGTACCTATATTTTTAAATAAATACATTTGCTCAGTATTATTGGACCTATTGGATGCAAATAAAAATTAAATATACAATTTGAGGAACGAAATTAAAAAAAGAAACGGACAGGTACAATAAATAGGTATTCCCGATTAAAAATTTACATATTATTATTTTGTAGCCCATTAAATAAATTATAATATCAGTTGAGTAATTATGAAATTAGATTGTTAGAAAAATTAAGGGGGCGCGGGCGCGGGCGCGGGCGCAACAGTTTTTTTAAAAATTCAGGGTAGCGCAGGTACAAAAATTGGCGCCGGGAGGCACGTATAACCGCCCATACTAAAATATGTTAATAAAAAGTTGGTAGGCAGTTCTGTTAGTTTCAAAGTAAAGGAATTTTTCCAACTTTGGTCCGCGGTTATTTCCCCTATCCGCCACCTGGGGTCGCGTCCGATGGGAGTTTGGAGTTCTCCACATGGATTTTCTCAAAAACGGACTACGGAAACACGGAACATCTCAAAAACTGCGACTTTGACTGATTTTGATGTTATTACAAATTTTGTTGCAAATATTATTCCTAATCTTAAATTGAAAACCGCGTTTCGCTAGCTAATGAAATTTTGGAGTTACAATTTTTTTAAAATTTTAACCCCCTCCCATACCCCCTTAAAAAGGTGTCGGCGAACATTCAAAGTTTTCCATTTAAATAACAAGCAACTTTTTTTCCATTAAAAGTACCATAACCTTGAAACGGTTTATGATAAAAAAAAATTTATCGCGGATTCTTGTAGAGCATAAAATTTACTAAAAAATCTATATGAGAGTAATCTAATTTCTTTTTACTAAATATGAAAATTTTTAAACAATATAGGTACACTAAAACTGATTGATTTTTGATTGAAAATTGATTTTTTTCACTATTCGAAGCTTTCAGATATACGAATTATTGAACTGAAAAAAATTACTCTCAGATAGATTTTTTAGTAAACTTTATGAAGAATAAACTCTACAAGAATCCGCGATAATTTTTTTTTATCATAAACTGTTTCAAAGTTATGGTACTTTTAATGAAAAAAACTTTTTTTTCTCCGTTATTAGGTTCATTTTAACCCATAAATTTCATAGGTTAGTTTTTTTAGCTCACCCTAATGTAGATGACAGCACGCGCATTCACCATTTTTTACAATTCTATTGAAATTGTGGTGACTGACCTAACCAAATTCACAAAAAAATATATTAGGTACCCAATTAATTTTCAATCCAATTAAATCTGTATTTTCGTTTACCAATTTCCTTGTTCCTCTATTAGCCTAGGGTACTAAGTTTGAATCACCCTGTATATAGATTTTTTTACGTTTTCCACGTTGTTATAAAAGCTGCTTTAGGGCGTAAATTGTCCATTACTTATTAAATTACAGATATAGGTAGATATTAAAAAATTACCAAACATTTGAGTTTAAAAAGAGCTAGAGCTAGAGCTAGAAAAAATAGATACCTAAATTCTAATTTTACTGTAATTCATAGTTAATTTAATTTCTATTGAGAACGTTCGCCACTGAAATATTTTTTTAATGTCAGGGTCTATTCCGTCGTAAAGCGACTTGACTAACACTGCACGTCACAAAATCATAGTTGTTACGGAAGGTCAGTTCTAACTGTAATAAATACGCTCAGTATTGTTGGACCACTTGGACGCAAATAAAAATTAATATACAATTTGAGGAACGAAATTAAAAAAAGAAACGCACAAGTACAATAAATAGGTATTCCCGATTAAAAATTTACTTAAAAATAATACGCATTTAAAAAAAATACTCCAAATAAATTGTATACTCCTTAAGCTCAATTTAAAGAATTCGAGCTAGACTTGCTTGATCTGACCCCAATACGAATAGGCCGTAAAAGTGCATAGAAACAAAAGAACCGGCAACCAACACCGGCAAACTAAACGGATAAAATATCGATCAGGGATTACAGAAATGCCGAATAAAATTAACAGACAAAGAGGCATAGATGAAAAAGCCGAGGTTAATATTCATTCAAAAGAAAAAAAAAAGGAATAAATAACTTTTTGGCTTACCGTTTTCCCGACGAAATGCGTAGTTTAGCAGCGCCGACACGCAGTGGATGCAGAGACCGAACGACGGCGAAACCAGAAAAGCAACGTTGCCAGATTTAAGCCGCTATTTTCATAGTCGGTTAGGAAATGAAAAGTTTGGAATTCCTGCTTTCCCAGTAAATAATAATTTATAAAGTAGAAAATACTTGTTCCTGCTGATACTGTATGTAGCTTTGGACCTACTTTATTTCTCTGCTTTAGTCGTTTTCTCTATGATAAAAATGGAGTAACTTATTTGAACTTTTATTTATATAACCTGATAGGTATTAATCCAGGAGGAAACCATAAATATTAATACATAAAGTATTTAACCTATACAGGGTGGTGCACCGTGGTCGTTGGAAACATCAAGCAAATCCCATGCAAATTTTGAACTGTTGAAATATTGGCTCCCCTACTGATTGTACAGCAAAGTCGTAAATAGATTTTTTTAAAGTTTATTATGGTAAATACACATACCAAATTTGGATAATTTTGGACCAGCCGATTTTGAGTAATTTAAGAAAGATTGCATCGATTTTTATATTAAAACAGAATAGGTAACAATCAAACACCAGTCAAAAACCGACATACCTTAGGTTTACAAACTATGGTTTTGTCATTGTCAAAAGTAATTTAATTTTAATATTCAGGGGAAATTAACCGAAACATGTCAGATACACTGTCTAAGCTATTGCCAAGCGTAGTGCCATTTTATAATGATCACTTTTTCTTTATGTGTATAACAATAAATTATTACTAGTAGGGAATATTAAAATTTTATTTAAATTACGTTTGAAAATTACGTTGACAACTTAAGATATGTCGGTTTTTGACTGGTGTTTGACTGTTACCTGTTCAGTTTTACTTCTCCAAATGTAGACCTTTAAAAACCCTATTTACGATTTCGCTAGTATATTTTTTTGGTTCTCTGTTACCAGTCTCTGTTGTACTTAACGTACGGAACAACTATTTAAGTTAATTCTCCATACTCTATCTTTTGCACTACTTTTTTGGTAAAAATTCTCTGTTCTGATTAGCTGCCATTGTCACCACTACACCACCATTTATCACAAAAACCCAACTAAATACAAAAAGAAGATTGCGCAAAGAACCACAACAGGACATGCGTTGGACAAATCTGTCAAGCAGTTGTGCTACACATCAAACACTTCTACATATTCTCAAATTATTGTGATGATGTACAATTGTTTGACAATGAAAATGCCCCATTACAAGCCTGGTCAAAATGATTATGCTCAGGTAATATTATGATATACCTTCTCTCAGATCGAACTACCTAAGACCGATTCTGAATCTATAAAGTCTGTCTCTGGTTCCCTCTTTTCAAGTTCGTTAACATCATTAATCATTATCCTCATCCTAGAATAGCCTAGAATCAAATTAAACTTCCTGTTTTTGTCTCCCAAGAAGTTATAATACAGAGATCACAAGCAATCAAGAAGACAGCAGCAAGCAAGAAGAGAGCAAATAAAGCGAAGATTACAAAAAGTTCTAAATAAGTCATCTTAGCTCGTTTGTAATATCATTTCGTTATATTCACAATTTGTTTTAACTTCAACAGGAAAAAAATTAAAGAGGATTCATCAACACAATAAATTCGGACCAACACCAATCACAGAATACGAAATTACATCACTTGAAAAATATTTAAAAAATTACCAATATTTTTCATAATTGATTATGCTTATCCTGTTTTTTTTTGTCTGTATATCAATAGAATATATTTTTCAACTGCTCCTATCATGCAGTAAGCCAATAAAGTAAATACAAACTTTATATTACATGTTAATAATACAACTTTTTATTACTTATTTAAACATTTCTTTTTAGAAATATTAAAAAAAAGTTGAATACTTTTGATAATAGAATTTTAAGTCTAATGATAATCTAAACAACGCATCAAAAATATACATTACAAATAAATGTACCAAAACGACGGATATTGCAGTCAATATGACAACATAGCTACTATATATGATAGTAGCGGTCGACAACAGCAATGTTGCCAGATCAGAGGCTAAACAAACTGCGTTTCTAAAAATATAGATAAAATATGTTGTTTTTCTCAAGTGAGACCTATTAAATATTCCTTCTAAATTATTTGAATAGATATCGATAGGTATCTGGCCAAAAACAGTAATATTTTCAATAAAATATATTTAATGTTTTATTTCCAAGAATAATTAGCCTAGGTATTAACCTAATATTAATTATTAATCTAATAATAATCTAATAAAAACTATATATTTTTTCTAATTTTGCAAAATTGACAAAATTAATTTTTCCAGTTTTTTTTTTGTGAAAAACGAAACAGCTGTACAACATCTCAATAATTATGTACTTAGTTTATTTTTATTATTCACCTCAGAAAAAATATAATTTATGCTATGGCAACGTTGGTTCGTATTAAAATTCTGGCAATAGGAAAACTTTATTTTCTGTAATTTAAATTTCTAATTTTTCATACATCATGATAATTAATATGATAATAATGATATGAAATAAAAATATGTATTTCATAGAGTATATAGGTATTTATAACAATATAGGTAGATAGTTAAGGGTTAAGGGGCATATTGCAGAGTGCACTGTATTTTTAAATTTCATTCCACTACACTGATCACGCAATCATTTTGTCGAGAGTTGTCGATTAAAGTCCCTAGATTTGTCGATGCTTATATGCCGCCATCTACAGGCTCATTTATTCTTTATGAGTAAAAAATATGAAGAAAATTACCAAATCGAATTGTCAAGCAAATATTTACAAAAATACGCCCTCTAGTGACATACAACAATAATAATAATAAAAAAAATCCGCTTTTCATATTACACCAAGGAAACTCTGATGTAATGTTATGAAACAACGGTAATTACCGAAACAACTTTGCTAAAGAATAGACTTTAATTTTTAATATTAATGTTCCATATTTCTAATATTTAAATGTTGCCTATATGTATAACATATTTTTATTACGTACGTTATATCGAACGCATGCGTGTATTGTTTTATATAACCCAAACGTGCCCCTTTAAAAGCCCCACTAGAACAATGAATATTCGAAATTTCATTTAATACTTATTAAAGTTATAATTAGATTAACAAACATATTATAATACAAAACTAAACAAGTGTGCCTTTCGAACTACAAAATGATTATATCAACTCACATTACATTTCGCATTTTTTACATGCTGAAAAGTACTGAAAATGATAGATTTTCCTAAGAAAGTTTATATGACATGATAAACTTACTACGGCAGCGTTTTCCTCAATCACTGTCATCTCTTGAAAATCCATTTTTTCCACTTCAAACCTTTTTTAAGACTAACAAATTGTTTAAAATTCTAGAGTATACACAAACACATGCAACGTGCCTGAATATTTACAAACATATGCAAGGTCATTCATTTGTTACGTCAAATCAAAATGTCGATAGAAATATTTCAATATTATGGAGTCTAAAAGGAGGAGGCGAATCGAACGCAAAAATTATGGGCCCAGTTTTTGAGATCTAAATGAAGTTCGAAAATCGCCGTTAGGGGCGCTTGTGATGATTGGGATACTAGAAATACACAGCTTCTTATGGCAAGAATAACTATTTTGTTATAAATTATAGAGCCAAGTTAATATTTGGGATATTTTTACCAGAGTTAGCTTTTAGAAACGTGGTTTTTCTAATTGAGCAATGTGCGTGGCTAAAATTGTGAATACAAAACCTTAAATTTGAGTTTGAAAAGTTAGTTAGGTTATATTAGATGCCGGTTTAATATATCCTTTTCCTAAGTTGATATTATAAAAATGTTTTATTATGTGGTTCTTTTTAGTGCATACACGACCGAAGAAACATATAAGCTGCTAAAATAAATCTTCCCTAGAACTGTTGTACAAAAAAGATAGAAGTTCCAGCAACAAATTTATCACCAGTTCAACCTTTGATTTGATGTAAACAGTAATTGTTTCTTGATGAGAAATGCGAATGAAATAGTTTATGGTGTGATTGTGTTAGTGTTTTATTAATAGTTTTGTTGATGCAGTTTAAAGGTTCATAGTTTTTCATTAAAACATTTGAAATTGACATGTTTACATGCAGTTTAGTGTGATACCATTTTAATAAACATTAAAATCTTTCGAACTAGTAGTGGTTTTATGGCGATTGACAGATTGAATAACGAAAATTAAGAGTATTTTATCAGGAATAACTTAATCATAAATGGAAACTGAAGACGAACGTTACCATTGCACCCTTTGATCGGTGTTATCTATTCCATAACTTTTTATAGCTGAAACTAGAGAGTAGGTATATTGAGCTGAAACGTTTCCTGTGTTCAATAGCGTTTTTTCTAGCGTTGAATTGTAAGTTTTAATGTCATTAGCAAAGTTTTGCAAATTGTCACTGTTTCGTAGACAATTAAATTCAAGATATATTATATTCAATGTCACCTAATAATTGTAAAGGTTTTTCTATTGATATTCACTTTATTAATATAAGGTAGGTTTGTAAATAAAATATTAATGAATAAATAATGTACTCAGTTTATTTCAAAAGCACAAAAATACAGAGTTGTGAATATGTATATACGCTGACTTATTTCATCATATAAATATTTATTTAGCAATATTAATACATTACAACTTTTGTTTCTATTAACTAATTCCACTAAATTTAATAAATAAAATATACAATATATAAATTTAATATACAATTTAGCACTTAGATATTAAATATCTATATGTACTATGCCAAAAAATAAAACAGGAACATCATATTATATCAAGAACACAAAAAATTACAATTTAAAAAAAATGCATTCTAAAAAAATACCTAGCTACAATATACCTACATATTAATTTAAAGAGCTTATTCATATTCATAAAAACTATTCTAAATGGTTTATATACACAATCAAAAGTATCAACCACAATACAATAATTTTCAAATTATTTCTTATTATTCCTCAATGAAAAAGCGTCTTGCGACGGCTAGTCAAAAATCTAAATAATTTTTATAATAAATTTACAATCTGACATATGAAACTATTTTTCAAATTTGTGAACATAGTAACTCTACTGTCTGTAACATCAACTGGCACATTAGTAATATCACGAAGAATTTCATTCTCATTCTCAAAGTTAGGTTCTGAAGTTTGATTTTCAACATGATTAATAGGCAGACCTTTTACTTTTTTTGAATTAGAAACTTTTTCAGTTGCTTCACTCCTTACACATGGTGGTTTCCTCTTTCTTTTATTACTAGAGAAATATGAAGGCAGGTTAGGAAAAATTCTTGGAATTGAACCCTCCTTTAATAATGGTCTACCCCGCTCAATTCTACTGATAGTTCCGTCAGTTAATTTGATCTCATAATGAGTCAAAATATCTTCATCTAGAAAATGTAGTTCACAAACAGCATCTTTGCTGCTAAGTGTCTTGTCTGATCTGGGTATCGCCTTTTGCCACTGCTGTAGCAAGCTAGGATCCTAATAAAAGATATATAATTGTTAAATAAAATAAAAAAAAAACATTTTTCACTATTAAAGCTGTTATTTTGAGAATACGATCTTGAAGTATAAATATTTAATATTCACTTTCAATAGCACTGTTCAAACTGTGGTTAATATAGGTACATGTCAACAGGTAATTTTAGCACCTAGTAAGTATTAAATTATTTTAATTTTATAACAAGGCCTCCTAGGTTATGTTATACACATGTTGATTTTAGGCTATATTTCCTATTAATTTGGTTTATAATTTAATCTGTACACTGACAGTATATAATTTTAATGTTTTTCTTAACATCTATCCATAATTTTTATAAATAAATAGTCATACTACTTACATTAGGAGCTTTGAAAAGGCTTGGGTTTCTTTCACCCCGTTCTTTATTTGCCTTGTTTTTATTGGGATTCCCACTTGTACAGCCAGGTACAAAGCAATTTCTACCACGACTCATTGTTGTACTGCTAAAAATTCAGTAAATTAACTATAAATTTTATTAAAAACACAATTAAATCGTATACTAACAATGAAAATGTAGTATCCCAGTCGATCGCAGTGCCTCTGCTGTCAAACCGAGGAAGCTGCTTAAAAGTGGGGACAGAAATTTCAAATTTGCCCATTGCCGATAAATCTCCTTTTTTAAGCCCTCCATATTCAATATTTGTGAAAAAGAGAATAGACATTTTACGCATTTCTCTTACTCTAGAGTGCTCTAGACGCTCATAAGGCAGAAAAAGATGCAAAATGCAGAGTTGTCTTTTCTGCAATTCACTTGCTGCCATCTATTGAGGATGATCTACAAAAGAAATGTATAGATTTCTTTTTATTTTATCTTGAAAGGAAAACTGTAAAAGTGTAAAAAGTTTGGTTATGTTTAACCGGGAAGCTGCGTGCTTGTTTTGATTTTGTTTTTAATACTTAAGTTATTTTTATAATATTATAACACTTTTTAAATACCTACATACAATGGCAGGGCCCACCAAAAAACCTCGAAAACCTACGGAACCCCAATCCGATGATAAATCTATGAGCGACGAGAGCGAATCTGGCACTTACCAGGGCCAACAGGCAAATATTTTAATTTGTATTATTAAAAACACAATAATGTTACTATATTGATTTTAGGAAGTTCAAGCAACATTCGAAGGAAGGAATCCAGAAGGTCAAGACTTTCACGGAATAAAGCAGTTATTGTTACAACTGTTTTTAAAGGCTCATATTGACTTGTCTCAAATGTCTGATATGTTGATATCTCAAACAGGAATTGGATCTGTATTAAAACAGGTATAAATAATCTGTTTCAAGCATTAGACAGTTTTTATCATTTATGTTATTAATATTTAAGAGTTATGATGATGATGAAGATGAAGATGATAACATGGATTTATCAGAAGATTCAAATGTTTTTGGTATTACTAGTGTAATAAACCTTACTTCACATAGAGAAACACCTTGTGTTCAGCAGTTTTTTACACTTTTAGAGGATTTAACAAAGCAACATGCCAATAAAGGTGTTCAAGATAATATTACTAAAGTATTGCAAAGCAAAAAACTAGGTTTGACCATACGAGTAAAATAGTACTTTTAACAAAACTGATAATTTTTGTTTATAGGATTTTTGATAAATGAACGGTTTGTTAATATACCAGCAAAAATTTCTGCAGCGATGTTAAATTCTCTGCTTGATGAAATGGAAAGAATTAAGAAAAAGAACAGTTCATATGATTTTGATTATCTAATTATAATATGTAAAACTTGTAAATCTAAAGGAGGGAATGGTAAGTGTAAATTTTTAAATATGCAAAAAGTGTAGGCAAGTACTTTTAAAAGAATATATCTTTAAAACAAATTGCAAACAATCCATACCTTCTATAAATAGGTAGGTATAAAGTATACTGGGTGGTGCATCCCTTACTTTAGTACCCCCATTAATTTTACAGCAAAGTCGCAAATAGGGTTCTTAAAGGTCTGCGAATGCTGAATACACGTGCCAAATTTCAGCAATTTTGGACAAGGTGGTTTTAAGTAATTAAGAAAAACTGCATCCATTTTTAAATTAAAAAGCAACGGATAACGTCAGCAACATTCTAACCAGTTTTAAATTACAAAAATGCATTTCGGGGACACTAAGAATGTCTTTGAATTATAACTTTTTAGGATAATAGTCTCTGACAGCTTTTATTTGGTACCTACGGGGAAATTAAAATAACTTTGGTTGCACATCATAAGAAGACGCGTGGTGTCATTGATGACATGCACCGAAAGTTGTTTTAATTTCCCTTTACTTATATTTTATATGGTACCTACTATTTAAAAAAGCTTAGTTTACCAAGGATTTTCTGGGTCACTCTGTATAATTTCTCTATTTTAACCTCTGGAATAGAGCAATGGATTGTTTATAAGAAATACATTGTGAAAACACATATTTTATTGCAATTTTTTACCCCATCTTGGTGACCCCGCCAATATTTTAACACTATTTGAATATTTCCTTTAGATGATGAAGAAATATATTCTAATGATGAAGAAGAACTATTCACTAAAGCAGCGGATGCAACATTTGATTTTTGTGTAGAAAAAGAAACAGATGTAGGTTTAGGAGGCAAGTGGTTATCAGAAGATAAGCAAATGATCCCTTATAGAAGAGTTGTTATATTTAAGGGCAGTAAGTTTAAAGATCTTGTAAGTCAAATTAGTATATTGGTTCAATAAAAAATATGATAAAACTAAAAGTTAAAATTTTTAATTCAGTTTTTATTAAAAAAAATATTTTACATAATTGGTATTCCTAGTTGTATTTATATTATAACATTTTAATATTATTTAGTATTTATAAAATTATTAAATAAGGCAGTAAATACATCACAGTTCACTAATATAGAGAAAGTCAAGGATTGAAAATTAATTTCGAATGATAACAAATGAATCAAAATACGAATATCACAAGTTATTCCATAATTTTGTGATAAAATTTACTCTTATGTACATTTACATACAGAGTGATTCACTGTAGAATAGACATTTATAGAGAATTGATAATAGTTTCTAAAACTACAGGTGTATGTGTATCTAAGTTATATTAATTTCTATTTGTTTTGATATCTGCAACCCATGTGTGACATTTTTGGCTTTGAAAATAATTTTTAATACTTTTTTGAATATCCCTCGCTTAATCATAATAACTTTTGTTAGTACACATTTATTGTATTTCTTATTTTGTATTAATTATAAGTATATAGAAATTTTAAAACATTTTCCGAAGCACGTCATCAATCACATCGAAATTGACACTAAAGCCTATAAACCTGAGTAAATGAAATTTTAGGAAAAATGTTTAAATTTGTTGACTAAATTAAAATACCAAGCAGCTCTTCATTATACTTTATAGAGCAAATGATTGTAACAGATATTTGATTTAGATTAAAGCTGCAAAAATTAGTTTAAACCGATTTTTATTACCGCCTTGTTGGTCACATTTCGCCATGTTCAGCAATGTCGTCGTGTATTATTTGACAATTATCTTAGTGTCAGTCATTATTTTGTATAATATCGTGTTGTTGAATTTTTGGGAGTAATTCCTCGTTTTTTGCCGTTTTTGATAGTTTTTTTTTCTTAAATTGTACTTCTAAGCACAAAAAGTTCCTTTAAGAACTAAATTTTCAAGATTTTTTACTGCATTTTTTGAAATTGTGGATTAAAAAATATGCCGAAGCCTTTAACAGTCAAAGCAAAGCTCTTGTAGCTTCCCTGATAAAATATTTTGAGCGCGAACGTGACATTTGAACGTGAACGTGGTCCTTTGAAGCGTGAATGTGGTCCTTTATTACACTTGAATGCATCAGAGAAGTAAGATTGATTGGTAAGCACATTATACCACTTTCAAGTTATTTCTACTTATTTCAATTTGTAGCGGGTAGCTGCTGCCTTAAAAAAAAATATATAAAAATTATATACTAAATATATTGTTTGTCACTTTTAAATTAAGATCCATCTCATAAATCCATTACAATCTGGCAGCGCTGTCGCCATTGCTTGTCACTCAAAGTTGATGACGTGCATCGGAAAATGTTTTAAAATTTCTATATATTTTATTTCATAGTACAATACGATAAGAATATACAGCGTCAGAGTTGGCTTGGAAATGAAGATTACATTTGACATATCGTTATCATTATTTTCAGCTTATTCAAGCATTTTCAATTATGGTGTAGCCTTCCTCACATATTTAGATACTATTTGTAGTTCGGCCTATTGTTGGATTGAGCGTACAGTACAGAGTGGATGACATCTATTACCTGGGTCTTTTGTCGTATCCATTCTGTTCCCAGCATATTTCTTTCCATTGAGCGTTATGCGACCTGCAGTTTCCTTATAATGTCGATTTTAAGTGTCCTGGTTTCGCATGCATAGGTCATGACTGGTAGTACACATTGGTAAAAAGTTTTCTTTTTTAGAAGTGGCATTCTAGATTTGAATATGAAAATTGAAAAATATGAATAATACATGAAATTTCATAAGTACTCTATGCTAACTTAATTCTTCTGTTGATTTCTGGTAGTAGAGATCCCGACCTGTGTGTTAGTTGTCCCACATTCCCATATAATTTGACATATAAAATGACAGCGATCTTTATACACATTTCCAAGCCAACTTTGACCCAGCTTTGTTATCATAATATTTTTTTTTCGAAATAATCTTTATTGCTGTTTGACATAAGACAAACTCTTATTCTCTATATTTTTTGGCAATTGTAAAACAAAATATCCCAAGTTCTTTAGTTATCTATAAATATCTAATAAATGGACATCACCCTGTATAAAAACTAAAATAAATCTAGCAATTATATATTTATTAGAGTTCTAACGAAAAAAATTAATGGTTTACCTTTGGTCATTCAGGGGGCTTAAAATTTAAAAAAAAATATTAAAATTTCCTATCTGATATTTTTTACTCCAACCCTTTTTCCCTTTTTACATAATTTCCGGAAATATGATAACGCATATTTTAACAATATTTTCAAAGATATACAGGGTAATTCAAATGTATCTTTACACTAAGAAATTTTTTTTATTAGAATGTTGTACCCATTATTTACATATATAATCAAAATTCCTATTTCAAAAATATGTACCAGATAAGAACCTATGGTAATCGCAAAACAACTTCCGATGCACGTAACAAGCGATGGCGACAGCGCTGCCAGATTGTGATGGATTTATGAGATGATTCTTAATGTAAAATTGACAAACAACATATTTATTATATCATTTTAAAAAGAGTTTTACGTTTTATTTTTAATTTAATAACTAATATTTTAGTGATTAATTGATTTATTTGTTTTATAGCTTATTTTACTTATTACATATTGGCAAAAACTAGTCCATTAAAAAGATTAATAGAAGCGTTATTATGGGTTATTTATTTATTGATGTACATCTTACAACGCCATAAGTGGTAATAACAAGTAAGAGGGCGCTATTAATGCACAAACTAATAGTCACAGAATTTAATAAAAACTAACTTTGAAAGTGGTATAATGTGCTTATCAATCAAACTTACTTTTCTGGCTGCAATCAAGGGTAACAAAGGACCTTTATTGTCACGTTCTCGTAGTTAAAAAAACAGGTAAGCTACAAGCTCTTTGCTTCGACTGTTTAAATTCGTCGGCATACATATTTTCAACACACAATTTCAAGAAATGCAATACAAAAACTCGAAAATTTAGTTCTTAAAAGAACTGTTTGTGCAAATGCAATTTTTAACAAAAAAAATTTGAAAATAGGCAAAAAAGATAATTACTCACAAACATTCAACAACAACACGATATTATACAAAATAATGACTGACATTAGGATAATTGTCAAATAATAAAGGACAACAATTGCTGAACACGCCGCAATGTGACCAACATAGCGATAATAAAATTCATAAACTAATTTTTGGCAGCTTTAATCTAAAATATATGTTACAATCATTTGCTCTATAAAGTAAAATCATACAACAGATTTAAACATTTTTGCCAACATTTCATTTAGTCAGGTTTATAGACTTTAGTGTCATTAGAGAACAACGGCACAGCCTACAAACACGTAAGCGTTTACGTACGCATGCGCATTTGTTATATTTTTACACTTAAAAGATTAAAAGATTCTTTACGTCTACGTATACGTGCCAGCAGTGGCCGATTCGACCGTAGGCCGTTGTTCTCTAATGTCGATATGATTGATAAAGCGCATCCGAAAATATTTTGCGCTTACAATATACAGTGATTTGTTCTGACAATTTTTATATTACATTCTCCACATATTCTTAATGACTCAAATTTGAGAAATTGTAAATTAATGAGATTAATACAGTAACTAATTTTACCTCGCCATGTAGTGTAGTTTAGTCCAAAATTCTCATATTTCATAAAGCCGCTTTTAGATATTATGACATACTATTTTTGGAGTAACAGTTTTATGGCAAATCCACTGAAAATAAAAAATTGCAGACATTATTATAAGTAGGTAGTTATAAGTAGTTTTTTAATGAAAAAAAAATGTAATTCATTCACCCTCTCTGAAAACTCTATCTTCATGAACATATTTTTGAAATGTGCGCTGCCATTGTGTAAGAAAATTGGTGCGAAAATCTCAAATAGGAAATTTAATATGAATCTTTTTTGAAATTGTGGGCCACTTTGTATAACCTGAAAATAGACAGATAGACAGAACGACTATATTCTGTAAAGTAACATGATAATCCAAAGTAGTTTGTTGTTCTGTCCTATTCTGGATTATCCATTCAGGAAGTGTGATACCTATCTATAAATTAGTTGATATAGCCTCCAACGGGAGGATTCCAAGGTTATTAAATTTAAAGTCCCTAGATATATAAAGTACCGCAATTGGTTTGTTCAATGTTATTGGCGCCAAAATGGCGGATTTTTGGGGTATTTCTGGGAAAACTGTAGTGGTAGGACTGTTTAAATGTCACATTTGTCTGAATTTGTCATGTCAAATGTTGAGAAGCTGTCAATTTCAGAATAAAAATATTGCTTAAAATTTTAAATTTCAGCAAAATTTGAGAAAAATAAATAAAGATTGTATAGAAGAACAATTTAACTTGGTGTGGATTCTTATTATTATTAAACCTCTTTTTATTAGTTATTTTAAACCTCACCTAGCTGACATAATCGCGCCAGCTACTGTGATTGGTCAAAAACTACGTCTTTTCCCGTTCATTAACTACATGAAAACTACGTTAATAAACTATGTATTGATATTATGAATAATTTTCCTTTGTATGAGGTGTAATAGAGATAATATGATGTAAATATTATATTTAAAGCCATATTTCTTCTGTTTTCTTAAATACATTATGTGTTTTTAATGCTTCAACTTATTAATTATAACCTCACCTCAAACCTTTGACATTTGAAAGTTACATACATAGGTTACATAAACTACACCCTCTACATAAACTACATGTAATGTAGTTTATGTAGTTTTTAAAAGTAACATGTAGTTTTCTGAACCCTGCTCGTTGGACAATATTACCGGATATCCTCCAAAAAATTGTATCAATAATTAATGCTATCACATATTATATTGTAACAGCTGAGGACCCCAATAATAGCACATAACATGTATGAAGTAAACATTAATTTACAACTAGTAATTTAAATCTTTTATCTATGAAAATGCATACTCGTATTCAAATTGACACTTTAATAAATTTTTGAAGTGAAACTTCTTTACGCGCGCTGGGAAAAAAATTCAAGGCCGTGACACACGAGCTACCGAGATGAGACGTTGTTTTTGTGTGTTTGAATAAACGTTAGCATTTTTAATTGATATCTACCATGACATCTGGAGGTTTGATGTATATTTTACCGGATCAATTTCGATACTGTAAAAGAAATTTTGGTTTAAGGTAGCATTATTTATGCTGAACTAAAGACAGCAGAAGATTGCGAGGCATGGATTTCAGAATTTTCGCGACTAAATTCAGTTGCCTGGATTGTACGGCGAACTTTTACTTTGTACTTTCCATATTGGACAGGCTGTATGGAGGTGACTTTGGGACAAAAATCACGCAGTTTCCAAAGAAGATCGACCATTATTATACAGGGTGGCGCACCTCATTCGCCTCGGTTGATTATACGAAAACGGAAAGATGTAAAAACAATTCTTTTTATGGGTATATGTAGAGAAACAATGTGCATAATTTAAAATTATTAAGTGAACAGGATGTGTTAGAATCCATAAGATCCATACCAAAGTTATTTTTTTTTCGTATGGAACACCCGGTATTTTATTTCATTTTTGGATTCTTGGGCATAAAATAAGGCATTTATTATAAGGGTTTAATATGTTTAGATGTTTTGGTTTTTGAGATATTTAAAGACATTTAAATATGCGTGCTCTAATAAAAAAAGTTTGTCAACACCCTGTACATTACTTTTCAGAGTTTATTCTTGTGGTGACTTTGAAGCCAGAGAAATTAACTTTACGAAAACAATGTATTGCTTTCTTAAATGTATACATGGGTATCAAAAATTGCTGATCTATTTTAAAAATTTATTTTACATAAAAACTTCGTTATTTCTATGTATGACGCAATTGTTGATACCCCTGTATACATTTAAGGAAGCAATCAAATTTTTTAGTAAGGTTTATTTCTCTGGCTAGAATTCTCTGGCACAAGAATTAATTCTGAAAAGTAATGTACAAGGTGTTGACAAACTTTTATATCATAGCATGCATATTTAAGTATCTTTAAATATCTCAAAAACCAAAGCATTTAAACATATTAAGCCCTTATAATAAATGCTTTATTTTATGTTCAAAAATCCAAAAATGAAATAAAATACCTGGTGTTCCATAAGAAAAAATATAACTTTGGTATGGATCTTAGTTCTGACACACCTTGTACATTTAATAATTAATAATGGCGTTTATAACATGTTAGTGTAATCTGCATTGTCCTTAAAACATTTGCATGATGCTGGAAAGAATATGGCAGAACGTACCACGTTTTAGTCACGGTTGGCAAAACACACCAGCGTTTAGTCTCAACCAATGAGAGCGGGAAAAATCACATTATGGACTATATAATGGTACATTTTGCTTAAATGTTCCCCGGCAGAGATAGAACTTTTTTTTATTTTTTTACAGCTGTTTTTATTTTTTCATTTATTTTCGGTATTCATCGATTTCGGCATAATTGGGGACGGGCTACAAGATGACGCGCTTGACGTTTCGAACCGATTCCTCTAAATGGACGAAATCATCAAGATTTTACTCAATTATGGGTCGATTGGAACCAAACTCGGCACGTGGATAGAGGTACCCGAATTGTCCGAGTCCTCAACATTTCAAACTACACTTTTTCAAACATGTCCTTCAAATCCTTCAATTTAATACCTGTTAGTAAGAAGTCTCATTTCAAATATGCAATTACAATGCACACACTTTTTTTAATAATATGGCACAAGTAGGTTAATTGTACTAGAGGTGGGCAAAGACTGAACAAGTCGTTCATTTGAACGAGTATTAAAAATGAATCGTGAGATTCGATTCACTGCTTAGAATACGGTTCGTTCAATTGAATCGTGGCCAGCACGGATCTATAAGATTTGAACGATGAGCCGTAAAAAAGAATCGTGAGAATTAATCGGATCACAATGCGAACATTCGTTTCAGGTGGATGACACTTCTTATGGGAGAACTGGCAATGGTTGAAAACTTGACTACAAGCGATTTTCTAGGAATCTTCCTTACCGATAAATTATTGACAAGAGTGACAGATAAAACCTTGACGTTCTTTCAGTATTACAGTTCATCTCTTTTTCTTTCTAAAGTGTGCGTTGAAAGGAGACAAAAACAATTTTTGGTGACCCATAATTTGTTATTCGAACACCACTTTTCTCCTTGTCGGGTCGTTGACGTTGACTTGTCGCCATTTTATTTCTTTTGTTTACAAGCTGCAGTTTGCTTTGCAAATTTAATACATAAATTATATGATAAATTATTTAGGCAAATATAGGTTTTTGATAAAACTTCTCGAACTAACGTGTAGGTAAGTGTTGATAAATATTTTTTTTTCATCTTAACATGCTCATTGTCATTCTCCTGATTTAGGTGACAGAAAAGGATCATCAAATCAAATTGAATTTTATATTTTTTTATCCCAGGACCGATAGTAAAATATATATTTTATGGATACCTTCCTAAATATCAACGAGATGAGCCATCGGAAGAAAGGGACCATAGTACAAAACAGAAAGGTGGCCTTTTTTCTTTCCACTTAGGATATTGAAATTATATACTGTCGGCACTCGAGAAATATAGATAAACAAAGAACAACAGATATAAATAAGTATCCCAGAGGAAAAGAGAGGCAATACCTGTACTCTCTAGGATATTGAAATTATATAGTGTAGTCGTGTTCGGCACTCTGAGAAATATACATAAACAAAGAACAACAGATATAAACTATCCCAGAGGAAAAGAGAGGCAATACCTGTACTCTCCCTGATATTTGTGAAAGTTACGGCAAAGTATTGTTGTAAATGTCATCTTTTTGATCGACCTGAAAACTTCGAGCAAAAAGATGACACTTTCAACATTACCCTGACAGATATCAGAGACGATACAGGTTTTTCCTCTCGTTTCCCCTGGAATACTTTTAATTTATTATTCTTTGTTTATCTAGATTTCGCAGAGCACTATGAACGAACTCAGCTGGTATGTTTGAAATAATCGTCCAGTTGACTTAAAAATGATGATCGATGACATTTCCCATATAATTTTACTTTCAAAATTATGATATATATCTTCATTTCTAAGCCATTTATGACGCCATTTTTTCAGTTTTGTTATAATTAATTTTGTCTCTTGATCTACTTGTAACATTATTCTTTTAATTTTATTAATTTATTGTGGTGAAATTAATTTCTGTTGTATATTTGATATTGATATTAAACATATTTTTAAAAAATGGTGTATTTTTTGTGTTTTTATGTATGTCATAATTAAAAATAAATGAAGAATTAATTTTTTTTTATTTTTTTAAACTTCCCGCCATGCGTGACAATCTAGTCCGTAGTTCCTACAAGCGAAATTGGGGGCGCTAGTAGCAGTAGACTTGTCAACAGTGTCAAATTTAAACGTCAATTTCACTTTCCAATATTTAGTAAGGCGCTCGCACTTCTTGTGTATGTGTTTTATGATTCGTTTCTACGGCGCGGCGCGGCGCGGCGGCGGCGCACGGTGGTATAGGCATAGAGAGAGAGTCAGGCACCAATATTTAGACTTGAACAAAAGCCATAAACAAACATAATGGGCATAAAATGCAAACGTAAGAAAGTTATTTACAAGAAAAAACACTTATTTATACTGTGCTTAGTACGGGAGTATCTGTAAGGTATTAAATTTTCACGTTAATATTTTTGTTAAAATAATATTACCGACCATAAACCATTAAATGTCGGACTGAAAGACGAAATCGTGTTTTTATGCAACTCCAAATAAAGTGTTGGCCTCTGCTCAAGATGATAAAAAAAACGGCGTCAGCGATGGTTATAAAATGAAGATCGCTGTCATTTCATATGCAAAATTATATGGGGAATGTCATCGATGTTCATTTCCAAGCCAACTGAACGCCATTTTTTTGATCATGCGGTATTTTATACTATTTATTATGATTATTAAATCGGAATTAAAATATGGCCCTAAAAATATTAAATTGGTATTAAGGAGTCTTTAATAAACTCCTATATATGAATTGGATTGATAATTTAATATTATTGGTAAAATAATCAATCCAATTACGCCAGTGTCATAAAGTGTTGAAAAACAAATGAAAGAACTGTATATTTCTTGTTTTGTTCCCATAAGTAATTGTCCGACCAAATTATCGCCGGTAGTGCCAGTTACGATTCTTGTTTTTATGAAACGCAAATTGTGTATGTGGTTCGTTCAAATGAACGAATCGTAGGAGTCGATTCAATATGAGAAATTGAATCGTGTGATTCGATTCACTAAAAAGAATCATAATGCCCATCGCTAAATTATAGCATTTTTATTTTGCTTCTTATCGAAGATACAAAAATAATAAATTAAGGAAAAGGACCAAACTACAATATTTCATGTGTCTTCATCAGTTCCCATCAGTTACCAGGTCTGTGTGAGGTGGATGTTGATCAGCTTTTTGTGTGAAACAATATAATAACATTTCAGATATGACATAACATCTGTTAATAATATAATCAATCATTCTTTGTCAGTCCCAGGTCTGTGTGAGGTAGATGTTGATCAACTTTCTGAAACAATATAATAACATTTCAGATATGACATAACATCTGTTAATAATATAATCAATCATTCCTACTTACGGCGGTACTGTAGCTTACATCGGCTATACTGATTTTTGGACCTAATATTTGTTCTGGATTAATCCACGGTTTAAGTAAGGGATTTTTCTGCCTAATTTTCCACATTTCGTAACCCTCTGCAGCTAGTTTTAGTTGCTTCACAACGTTGGGTGCCAATTTCTGTGTCACTTTATTCACAAGCCATGACGGTAATTTACCTCTAGGATCAGTCTGCGAAATATAACCCAAAAAACAGCCCTCGTTTCTTCTTCTCACCACAAAACCAGTTAAATATGAAACAGCTCTATAGAAACAGAAAATACGTATTAGTATAACTTCTCGACAACAAATTCCGAACAAAAGTGATAAATTAAGAGATTCTTCAATCGTTTTCCGATTTTAGTAGAATTTTTTGTGGTCTATACCGGGTGCGTCTCAAAAGTTACCCCCTATAACTTTTTTATATTTTCACATAAAAAACGAGATTTGGTATGTTAGTATATGACACAAATTAGGATTGATTGACGTATTCAATTGTTTTTTATCACTTCCTGTTTCACCGGAAATGGCTATAACTTTTGATTTTTAAATGGCACCCTCGGTATATTTTTACTTCATTCGATAGAAAATGGCGCTCATATTTTGATTTTTAAATGACACCCTGGGTATTTTTGCTTTGTTCAATAGAAAATAACATTCTGAATAGAAAGACATATCATAGGTTAGGTTGTAACAACTTTAGACATTTTCGCTTACAAAAAATCGTATTTTAAATTTCAATCTAAAGTGCCATGGCTGTGTTAAAAACACTAATTTTTGATCAAGGGGCCTTGGAAAAATAGATTTGATCATCTAATGTTTTCAGTGTCTTGTCCTGGCCGGTTAAAAGATGCCTAAATCGTTTTTTAATGATACCAATTTTTTCAAATGGAACGACGGACGGTGGCTCATTAGCATACCGGGTGCGTTTCAAAAGTGGCTCACCCCCTATAACTTTTATTTATTTTTTCAGATAAAACAACGAGATTTGGTATGTTAGTATAGTACATAAATTAGGATTGATTGACATTCAATTGTTTTCGGTTACTTCCGGTTTCACCGGAAATGACTACAACTTTTTATTTTTAAATGGCACACTCGGTATTTTTTACTTCATTTTATAGAAAATGACACTCTGAATAGAAAGGCATATCCGAGGGGTGTCTCACTTGGGTAAAAAATGTACATGTACTGCCAAAATATCGTTTTACTACCCAGCGACTGCCAATGACTGCGAAGAAGACTGCCTATGACTGCCATGTAATTAATATAGGCGACTGCCGTAAGACTGCCAAGAAAATGTACAGGTAATTCCAATAGTGAGATACCCCTCGGGCATATCATATGTCAACTTTTGACATTTTCGCATATGGTTTATTTGAAATTATAACATGCGGTTCATAACGACAATTTGACTCAAAATACCAACCCAAGTAGGATTTTCACGACTTGCGACCACATGTTTACTAAACACAACGTTGGATTAGTTACAAAAAATAGTTAGCTCCCTACCTTGGGTATTAAAATAAATTTAAACGTTTTTATAACATTGTGCCGACGTTGGACTAGTACTACAGCAAAGTAGAAGCTTCTGCGACGTCGAATAAACGTTGTCTTGTAATCTTTTTTGCTTAAGTGATCTTTAGGTGATTCGGACAACGTAGTTACAACGTTGGACAATATAGAGTTTTCCGACGTCAGTTTCAGGACCTATTCCAACGTTATGCAAACGTCGCGCGTCGTCTGTTTTACTAATTCCAACGTTGTTTAGATTTCCTTATTCTTACGTTGGTAGGACGTCGAGTCACTACCTTTTTGCAACTGTATTGAACCATAACCTTAAATCTTAAATTTTCACTTCATTGTTCTGTTCAGTCAGACAGTTCAGTGCTGTTTTTGTTTTTATAAAAAAAAACTTAATTCAAATAGGACATAAGAAAGGTACATATAAAACTAAATTTAAATATACATCGACATATATATTACCGATAGTTTATCCACTCCCTCGTTTATTTAGATTATAGAGGGCGGCACAAGCTAGACTCTAGGATGACTAAATTAGGCAATCTTGCGACTAGTATACTACCTGTTATGGCCGAACTGCGACTTTATTAGTCCAGTATGCGACTACTCGAACTACTCCATCTTAATCTCCAAAACAACAAAGTGAAAGCTGCCATGTTGTTAAATAAGAAAATGTTTCGTTCCTAAAATAGCAATTCCTGCTTTTTGAATACATTAACTTCAAATATTTGACCCTAAAAAACACGCGGAAACAATTTGTTCGACTGCGAATAAATTATTCTCATTTTACTAAAAAAAAATTCAAGAAAATTTTTAAAACTTCTTTAATTTTAAGGCCCATTAGTATTTTTCAATAAGTAGAAACAATACATTTATCAATAAAGTTGTTTGCGTTTAACTTTTTTGCCTTAGGTAACGAGTCACAGAGTCGGTTAAAGTGTTTCAATAATTATGATCTTCAAACATCTTCCACACTTAAATACTTTTGTTTTGTTTTCCTTCACTGCCACCTGACATATGTCTCTAACTAAATCATAAAAATAATATTTTTACTATAATTATCCCAATTTAGGATAAAACGCGACTTAGACGCCATATTAGTTTTGTATTTCTGTGAATTAGGATTTGGTTTGGTTTAGTACAAACAACGTTGCAGTTTGTACTAAATTAGGCTTCTAGCCAACGTCGGTATCCAACGTCGTTTCGACCCAAAAATTATTCTCCAAACTAGTGCAGACTAGGGTTGGCACGAGGTTGTGCCGACGTTGCGCCCCGACGTTTGGTCGCGTGACACAACGTTTTCCCAACGTCCAAATGCTGCTTGGGAAGTGTGTGGTATCAAATTTTTCGTTAAAAAATGCTTTTTCGAAATATGCTAATGGGCCACCCTCGTTCCATTTTAAAAAATTGAGATATGATTAAAAATACGATGTGGGCATTTTTTAACCGGCCAGGACAAGACATTAAAAACATTAAACGATCAAATCTATTTTTCCAAGGATCCTTGATTAAAAATTAGTGTCTTTAACACAGCCATGGAAGCTCACAGCAAGAAGGACATGATTTATAGATATACAGGTTGTTCCATTTGAAAAAACAAAAAAATATTTTTTTTTTCGTAGAAAATAGACTACGCCACTGTATTCTACGTAAAAAGTTCTATATGAATCGGTTTTCACCTTGCCGATATCATCTACAATAACGGAGATACGGGGGCTGTCCCAAATTGCAAAACTTTCGAAAAACACCCTGTAGCTCAGAAACGAAGAGGGCCATGGAGCACAGGTTTGTGCACAGAGGGCTAAGTGGGTTAGGTTTGTGCAAACCGCATCCTTCTCTATTTACTAATAACGGAAATACCGTATGATTTCAACCCAAAATGGGACACCCTGTACAAGATAATAACAACCAGACCCCCTACCTATACTAGAATATCGAAAAAGGTAATTCACCAGGAAATTACTATTCTGTGCTATGCCGACGACGCCGTATTGGTAGCTGAAAACGAGGACGATCTACAGCGTTTGTTACATCGATTTAACTGCACTGCCAAATCAATTAATATGATTATATCGACCCAGAAAACTACATGCATAACGACATCAAAAGTACCACTAAGATGCAAACTGGAAGTCGAGGGCAATGTTATCCAAAAAGAAAATGAAGTTTAAGTATCTAGGCATCGAAATCTCAGGATATAGTGATGTAGAAGCGGAGGTGCGAGAACGGACAACGAAGGTAAACAGAATAACAGGATGCCTGAATGACACAATATGGCGAAATAAAAACATTGAGGTGGAAACTAAAGCAAGAATTTACAAGGCAACGGCACGACCAATAATGACATACATTACAGAAACTCGACCTGATACGGCGAAAACTAAACACTTACTAGAGACAACCGAAATGAGAGTACTACGCGGAATAGCTGGAAAGACGCTTCTGGACAGGGAAAGAAATGAAAGCATAAGAAGAGCATGCAAGGTGGAAAATGTAAATGAGTGGGTACTCAGCAGAAAGGAAGAATGGAACGAGCATATCAGCAGAATGGACAACAGAAGGATAGTGAGAGTTGCACGCGACAAATTACCGCTAGGTCGCAGAAGCTTAGGACGTCCACGAAAACGATGAAGCGACGACTTGCCAGTCTGGCCGATAGAGACGACGAAACCAAACAGGCGATTCGCCTAGTATGAAGAAGAAGAAGAAGAAATAATTCAAGAATTCAATTGTTTTTTAAACGATCTTTGTCCGGAATTTATTATCATCGAGTTACTTAATTTGTGAATGGGTATAATTTAAGTACCTTATAAATTCTCTCCTTGGACCATAATCTTTATGGTTTACAGAATGGTTTAATATTAGCTTTTCGTCGTTCATATCTAACCACGACCTCTGAAGCACAAAGTCTCTGTTTTTAAGAGGTGACGGGCAAGACACTGAAATTTATAATTTATTTAACAATTTTTTAAGTTCTATTCTAGTTTTATTTCTACTAACGGGCATAATATCCTACATCGTTGTTAGGATTCAGATATCCTATATCTATGGAGGCCATCATATGTTCGTCCCATTCTTTACGATAGTCCGGATCGTGTAACACATCGAACATAGTTTCGGCACTTATTTTATTGAAGACGGAGTGTATTTTTACCATGCGAAAACTGCTGGTAGAAGTCGTTTTTGACCAAACCTGGTAAAAAAATAATTATAATTACTAAAAACAATAGTGCATATTTTAATAGTACAGGGTGGCGCCTCTCACACGACGCAGAGGCTCCATGGAGAACGGTAGTTTATATTGAAATGAAATGTTGGTAGAATATGTAAGTTACTTTAGACCATTTTTTAAAAATATAAAGAATTCTACACGGTGTCCCCTAAAATATATCAATCCTGCGGCAAATTCAAATATATCATTAATTGAATTTCGGATTCTAGGAAAAAAATAAAGGTGAGTTTCATTAAAGAAGCATATGGCTAAAATGTAAGAATTTTGAGATATTTCACATTTCGTGAAAATGAAGAATAAATTTTGCATTTCAATAACAACTATCTAAATTGTGAATTACCCTGTATAGCTTAATATTTAGTTAAAATAACCGTTATATGTTAAATCAAATTAAAATTTGACCCGAAAATCTATACATACAAATATTGAACATTGGTCACATTTAAAAGCAAGTTACTCCTTTATTTTAAATGGAACGCCCAGTATATTATTATATATTCAATTGAGAATTCATATATCTTCAAAATACTATTAAGGTTGCCTACCCTTGAGACAAAGATTTTCCTAGATATTTTCATTTTTATGATTTTGCGACCTAATTTGATAAAATCTAGGTGGCTGTGATATACCCGTTATACCTTTTGTTAATTTCACAAAAATTAAAGGATTTAGAGAAAAATATTCACCGGTAATAAAAAAATACACGTTTAAAACATTTTTTTTACGTGACAAAAATTAGCTAGATGTAACCAAATGCTCAAAATGCTTCCTTTCCTGTTCTCTGCATAAACTCATTTTATTTTCAAAAGATCTTTTAGTGTTAAAAGGCATATATGTGGAGTTCTATTTCGAAAAGCAGCCACAATAATTTCTCTCATGTTGTCGACACTAGTTGGTCGAATTTTGTAAACACTGTCTTTAACATACCCCCATAAAAAATCGAGACTAGATAAATCTGTAGCATTTAAATATTCTAGTAATTGGTGAATGCACACTGCAGTCACCAACTCCTAGAATCAAATCAATTCTCTCTGATGTAGGATAAGTTACCTTTTTCGGCAATTTTCTGAGATTTTTTTTGTTTTAACTTAATTTAGAATCCACTACATTTTTATGGACAGAAAAATGGAAACATACTGAGGCATTTTATTTCTGCCAAAAAAAAGTAGTTCCCCAAATAAAGAGAACACTTTTAGTCATTCTGCTTGCTGCTTTAAAGAGGAATGATCCAGTGTCGACGATTTTAAGGCCGCAATAGATAATCAGTGCTATTGGCAATCTTGCAAGCTACATTCATTACTCTTAGGTCTATCTAAGCCCACCAAATTCAAAAGACCTCGAACTCATTGCTGACATAAGAGATATACAGGTTGTTAATTTGTTTATTACTCGCGGCAAGAGCTTTATGGTTGAAATATGACAACCTCGGCCCGCTCGTCGAGAGACGACGCGACGGGACAAGTGGGCAGCTTAGCCTAGTACACATTTGGAATGTAGGCAGTGTTGACATTCTGTTCCCCAATAAGTAACCGTCCACTTAACAATCTGTATACACTAAACTGAAGAGCGAGGATGTAAACTCTCGTTCATAAATACGCATCATCTCGCGACGGCGGTAAGCAATAATGGAGACGGCAAGCTCGAACACAATCATCTCGTCCCAAAACACATAAAAAAGTACATACTTATCAATAAGAATATCAATACGGCATCGGCATTACTACATTTTTCATCTAATTTGCTATTTCACTTGAATGACTACATTTTTATAAACAGCAACAACTAAAAATGTATACGTAAATGTTAAACTATACCTTGATTTGGTCCGGTTTATTTTCATACTCCAATCTCCAACTATCATGGTTGTCAACCAGTCGCTTTAACATAGCAAAATCGCTGTCTTCTGCTATTTTTACTACTCCGATCTCCATATTTTCCTGAAAAATTCGAAAAATCATCATAAAGTATCTTTTAATATCATTCATAATGTTATTTTACTGTAAGAACCTCACAATAGTGGAATAAATTAGTGGTTTCAATAACACTATACTTTTTAGTTTACGATGATTCACAATGTTTAAAAAAACATAATTAAAATTAATAGAATATCCTATCCTAATCCTAGCAATAACAGCTTGCTTTAGTAAGTTGTATCCATAGAGAAGTCGAATATTTAGCTTATAAAACAATCAACTTTTGATTTCTGACCACAATAATTTCTCTTGACGGCAGATAATCAAAGGCCAAAATGACATTTCTCGCAAATTTTGAAGTATAATTAGTGGAAAAGTTAAAAGCTTCATTCAGAACCTCGAAATCATTGGAATAAATTAGTAGTTTCAATTAGTCGTAGAAGTTTGTTCACGTAATTTTAATCTAAGCATTCAGAAGTCATAATTAGTGGCAGTAATTTTCAATTAGTGGAAAAAGTTAACAAACTTTTTGACTTTTTCACTAATTATACTTCAAAATTTGCGAGGAATGCTATTTTGGCCTTTGGCCTTTGATTATCACCCGTCAAGAAAAATTTTGGTTAGAAATCAAAAGTTTATTGTTTTATAAGCTAAATATTATGCTTTCTCTATGGATACAACAGACTACCGCAAGCTGTTGCTAGGATATTTTATTAATTTTAATTGTGTTTTTTAGACATTGTGAATGATCGTAAACTAAAAAGTATAAAATGTAATTGACACCACTAATTTATTCCACTAATTGTGAGGTTCTGAATGAAGCTAAAAGTTTGATAACCTTTCTCTACTAATTGAAAATATCTACCACTAATTTTGACGTTCTGAATGCTAACATTGATATTCAAGGAACAAACTTCTACGCTAATTGAAACCACTCATTGCGAGGTTCTGAATGAAGGTAAGTCCATAGTATATTGTTACTGAGTAACTTCAGACTCTAATTCGATTTTAAATCCAAAAAATAATAATTTGTGAAATGGTGTTACATTTTACAGTCCTGTAACTTTTTGTGTACCGACTTTTGTTAGGCTTACTTAAAAAAAATTACCCTTTAACCACTCCTATCTCTAGAATTTCTAAGGATCTCTCTAGGATCGCTCACAACAAACAAGGGAGGCTATGACGAAGAAATGAAACAGTCATAAAATCGCTCGTAAAAATAGTTCGTAACTCGACAATAAAACTGATTCGAATATGGGAAGACTACATGATAAGACCCAGCGCAACAAATTAAAATTACTAAGTCAGTTATCCAATTTGATATAATTTTGTCTACAGACTTGTCGGAGTAATCGTTCTGAATTAAATCTGTTTTAATATTATTTAACATAGTGATTTTTGGTCACTGCATCGTCGTATTTGCTGACATAAAGTTTTAAGAAAAAAAAATCGTGGGTGTTTGGGAAGGCTCGAAAGGAAACAATGTTTTTGCGACGTTTCGCGACTTTATTGTCGCTTCTTCAGGCACCAAAACACATATTAATCTATATGCCTACAAACATTCATGACGATTCCAACCGCCAACACTAAGACACATACAGAAGAACGAACAGAAACTTAACGGGAATTTTTTTTTGTCCGATGTACACCGAAGCTCGGTTTGTGTCCTACTCTCGGTCCTACTGTACAATAAAGTCGCGAACAACGCAATAACACTGTTTCCTTTCGAGCCTTCCCAAACACCCACGATTTTTTTTCTGCGTACTAACTACTGGGAACTAACAATAATCATAATAAAGTTTTAACTATTCCTTTCTTAGTTAATTCAGAATGGTTTGACTGAAAACTTAATAAATAATTTCTGTGACAGAAGACCCAATAGATCCCCCATTTCTGCTAACAAGGACATCTAGAAACGGCAGACAGAGGTTTTTGAGTGGGGAAGCTGGCCAACTGTCTATCGGTCCCGTTCCATATTATGAAAGTATCGTCAATTAAAAAAAATATTTTGTGGTACCTTTGACCTTCGAGTTGGCATTTTTCACTGTCCATATTAATTTAAATTGACTATCATTTTTTTATTATTGAATTTCATTCAGTGTCAAAGTTAATTATTTTAGCAATATTACAATTTCGTCATTTTTTAGATCTGTGTTAGTCTACGCATGCAATTGGCAATGATGATTGCAATTTGATTGACTTTGTATTTCGACCGAATCAGCTTAAATTCATTCAGTTCGTTCACAATTTCTGTATTTTATTCTTGATATCTGGCATCTGGCATAAGATCATATTATGAAATCATATCAATCATAAATATATGCATAAAGGTTGATTCTCACTATACCTTCCATCATGGGCGCCGGACAGGGGGGGGGGCAAGAGGGGGTATTTGCGCCCCCCTGGATCACTGAAACAATAAAAATAAAAGCTATCTTCTTACATCCATCTGTAAAAAAAATAATCATTATTATGAAATTGTTAGGTGTTACCTGTAAAATAATAAAAAATGTGGTAATTATTGGGAAAACTGGAAATCGTCCGATTTTCACCAAAATTGGTATACATACTATTTTGAGGTCGTAGATTACGAATCTATTTTTTTCTTGGCGGTCTCTTACCGTTTTTCAGAAAAGCGGAAAATTATTTCAACATTGAATTTTTTTTATTTCGGCCCTATAAAGTAATAATTTCACTATATTTTCATTATATTATAGTTTATCTAAAAGCCACACTTGATTGGGGATAGAAAAGTGTTCAACATTTTACTGAAAAACACTTTTCTTAACAAAATAGCTAAGAAAATTGGGACCAGATGGAAGTTTGACATTTGATATATCCTTCTTTCTCTCTCCTATGTAATAAGAGAGACAAATATATTCTAGACCTAATCTAAAAATTTGAAAATTTACAACGTTGCCATATCTTCTATTTTTTCGGGTGATTACGGATTTTAAATAAATTACCTATTATGAGATCGACAATAATTAAATATACACATATATCCACAAAATTACGCGGAAGAGTTTTGATTGCATTGGTTTTAACTTCTTTGCGGAGGGGGTTTATCTTTTTTTAGTTAATCTAATAATATAACAACAAAAGATTAACACCCCCTGCATGGAAGTTGTAACCAATGCAATCAAAACTCTTTCGTACATAGTCAGATCTCGTTGGTAAAATAGCAGTTATGGGAAGGAGCCGTTCTTCTGGCGACCGCCTTTCGTAATTCCAGAATGAGCGAAAAAAACACGCTAAATTTAGGTTTAGCATTGGCAACGTTGCTTTAAATGCCAGAAATACATAAACTTACTTCGGGTTTCTCTTATTACCGATTCTGAACCGTCCTAGAACTGTGATGCGTATGCACAGAAGGAAATATGAAGACATTATTTCATTTGCGCATGCGCTGCAGAGTTCTTGGACGGTTCAGAATCGGTAATAACAAGAACCCGAACAAAGCTATAATCTAACATTTTCAGATTGTTTACAAATTTATTTTAGCAAATTTTCCTCTAGTATGCATAGAATTGGTTAAAAAAAGTAACAGAAAATAGCAAAAACATTATTGATTATTTGAATACCTAACAAAATATGTGCTAGAAAACCTTAAAAATATGAGAAATTAAGAAAAATTCGATATTGAAATTATTTTCCGTTTTTCTGAAAAACGGTAAGAGACCGCCAAGAAAAAAGTTCAGATTCGTAATCTAGGACTTCAAAATAGGGTGTATACCAATTTTGGTGAAAATCGGACGATTTCCAGTTTTCCCAATAATTACCAAAAATGTCAATTTTTTATTCATTTTTACCTTGCCCCCCCCCCCTAAATTTCATTCTTCCGGCGACCATGCCTTCCATATCGTCTCTCTTCCGTTTACATAAAATATTATATCATGTAAATGAATAGGACAATGCACACTATCCGTTCCGTTTCCCTTCCGTTCCATATCCTTTCCTTCCATACATTTTTTTGGCAGACGGTCTGAAGCGTATCGGAAATAGCGTTATCACGTTCTTACTTTTTGTACCAGCTCTGTTAAAATTTTGCTGATATTTATTTATTCTTTCACCTCTTAATTAAATCTATTACCTACCATTTTCAAAAGATACAAATTTTTAAAATAAAACTTTTACTGTACTATAAAAAGTATGGAACTGATACGGAACGGAAGCTTACCTATAGCGACAATACATAATACTGTCAAGGTGTATGTAGCGCTAAAATGTATTACTGGTTGCCTACACAACCGCAACGTGTCAAGAAAAAAGGCGCATCCGCCAGAAAGTAAAATACATTTTTAGGCGCCATCTCTTAATCAAGTCGACAAGTAAGCGACATGGCAGTAATCAGACAATGGAATTGTCCAGTATGAAGCAGAACGCTCTCCGAGAATTTTAGAAGGTTCAAGAAACAGTCAGTAGGGGTATATAAAGGCCCGTGCTTGGCAGTTAGACCAGTTTGAAGTTTGAGTATACCGCGTTTGGAAATTGCGTGGAAATTGCGAATCGGACAATTTGGTGAAGGAATTTTATAAATAGTTAGTTATTGTGTGTATAAAGTGAGAATAAATTCGTTAAGTATTTTATCGTGAATTTAAATTAGTGGAATCACGGAATCCGTAACAATACAATAAAAATACGGAACGAATATTGAATGGAAACGGAAGGTATAGTGAGAATCAATAGCCGTAAAAAACTCATCGCAACTTTATTAGAATATTTTGAACTGGAACGCGGTAATAATGGCCCTTTATTTCCATTAATTGCTGTTAGGGAGGTGAGTTTTGTTGATGTAAAGAATAAATATTTATATATTTATAATTGATTTATTTTTGTTTCCTAAAATATTTTGATTAAATGAAAATATGTGAAAGTGGGCAACGCTGTGCCGGTGAAGCTTAATCACGTGACTATGGTACAGTATGGAGTTTATATGTTGAAAAAAAAACAATACACTATTAGCAGTCTCCAATATAATATCGTATACACGCCTTTGGAGTAGCAATAAGGTATAATTACTT